AAAAAAAAAAAAAGGCGGTGTATTGCCTGTTTGCGCGTTCTAGACCTTAATCAGTCTATGTAGTGAGGTCTGGATCATTTCTTAGATGTCCAGCCCGCCATGCAAATGTAGACAAATGCACGATTTGCATCCCGAGAGAAAAAGAAAAGCGAGGTATCATGATAGATGACTTCCAGAATCCGGTTCCTGCAGAAGTCACAAGTAAAACGCCATGAAATAAATCATCAAATTTTTAGACCGTCATTTTCGAACACCGTCTTACCAATGCATCAAGCTCGTATGAATGAAGAACAGTGAAAGCCAACATATGCAAATCATTATTCATTCGTGTTGAGGTGGAAAAGTGCAGAGACACTGCAACAAGTTAGCTTTGAACATTAGACAGCGAGAAGAAGACATACCTTTCACCGTAGTGGTGGCGTCTGATGCTCTCCGCGAGAAGACTCGAGATGTCAATGATGATCAACTTCTTCGATCTCTTCACCGTGTCCGGAGGAATGGGGAACGTGTTGGTCACGACAAGGTAATCAATCGAGTCACAGGCTTCCAACTGGTCGAGAGATTCCTCCCCAAAAAGTCCATGCGTAGCAATGCAGTAGACCTTGTTGGCGCCACCACGCTTCACAACTGTTTCTGCGGCCGCAATCCACGATCCGCACTTGTCGATCATGTCATCAACAATAAAGACGGTTCTGTCGCGAACATCCCCGACCAACGTGATCGTCTTCTCGGATTCATTGTGTCTAGTACTGCCCTCCTCATCGGACGACTCTGCAGCATCAAATGTGCCTCCGAGTGCGTGATCCGGTGGTAACGACGACGTAGTAGAAATGAGAGAGTTCACCATGGAGTCGGGAACAACATCCGCATTGTGTTGATAACCGGTCAGGGCGGGAGTGGTTCCGCCTGATGCAGGCACAGAAGTAGGGGCCGTGGACGGATAATCATCGTCTACGAGTTGTCCCTGCACGAGGCGGCCTGTGATCACATCACACACGCGAACATCTGTTTGCTCTTGTGTAGCTTCCAATTCAGAAGGACGACGAGCCGCAGGTGGTGTGTCCGGTCTTAGATGGTTGTCCGACACAGACTGCGAGTCAAAATCGTCGTTTGTCTCGCTAAGAGCCTCTTCTGGCGAGTCATTGGCAGATTGAAGCTGGAGATCGAACGGCTGATTATCTTTGGGAGTGCGAACCGCCTCCGGTTCGGCAGCATCGAAGAAAAGCGTACTGTCTGCCATATTAGCAGACGCCTTCGGGCGCCGTCTATCCGTTGTGACTATGCCAAAGTTCAGCTTAAGCGTGTCTGCTAGCGACGTAACACGTTTCGTGCCTCCGGCATTCTTGCTAACGACGACGGCTTCCCTCCAGTTGGGCACGTTCATCCGGATCCAGCGGGCAATGAAGGGCTCAGCAAACAAGTTATCCACAGGCTTGCCAAAGAATCCTTGCATTTGCGATGCCTGCAGTATTCGAACGAGTCTTAGTCCCACTCCAACAAGATTTGTCGCCAAATATAGAATGGAAGAAGCTCACATGCAAATCTAATGTGACAACATGGTCGACGCCAGCTACTGAGAGAAGATTCGCAAGCATTCGAGCCGTGATAGCGCCACGATGGCTCTTCTTCTTGGATTGGCGAGAATATGGGAAGTACCTCGTCTGGGTCAGCATCATTTGTGCATTAGTCAAACGAGGTAGGCATCATACGGCATAACCGCTGTAAGAGAAGGACTTCATCAGCGACCATATATCAATTGAATCCGTAGTGGAAAAAACGTACCTGTGATGGATCTTGCAGAGCCACCTTTGCAAGCAGAGATCATGATCAATAGCTCCATAACACTGTCATTGATCTTGCTGCTGCCGCTCTGCACAATATAGACATCTTGGTTCCGTACTGAGATGTTGATGTTCACTCTGGTTTCCCCATTGCTGAATTTCCCCAGGTCTGCCCGAGCAGGGACAGCTCCCAAGCGCTCACAGATGGTCTCAGCAAGAGCCGGATGCGAAGTCCCGGTAAAAATCTGTACTCCTCTCATGATAGTACTTCTGTTATGACAGAGAAAGTCATAGATAGTGTGATTATAAATGGGTTGAATAGAAGAGAGCAAAAGTTTTGTGAGGTCACGAGGGGAAAAGAAAAAGAGTTGAAGCTAAAAAGAAAAAACCGGAGGAAAAAAAAGTGTGTCGTCTTCGGCACTTCTCGGTCCCCGTACCGATTCTTCCCCGCCGATAATAAAATAATGCCCCGCGATAGGACCAGTCAGTGGTACACCGATTGATTGCCTGTCACCATGTCGCATAAATATCCTCCTGTCCAGGGAGGTGGCTCTCTGATAGTTGCTTGGCAGGCTAGAGATAAGAATATCGTCGTCGTCGGAGGTGGTGAGGTATGACTGTCGTCCTTTCTCCCTTATCTCCGCGCCAGAAATATATATATCTCGAAGATGCAGTGACTAACCACGTGCCTGGCATAGGTAGCCGCCGGACGCATCCTCCACGCCCTCAATGCCGACGCCAAAGTAACCGTGATATGCCCAGCATCAGGCCTAAACGATGAAGTAGCCTTTCGAGTCTCCGAGGGACAGGTTTCCCATAAAGATAAGCATTTCGAGCCAACGGATCTTGACGGAGCGGACATGGTACTTTGCGCCATTGATGACCCAGAGGCATCATCTCGTGTGTGGAAGCTATGTAAGGAGAAGCGCATTCCTGCCAACATTGCAGATGTGCCTCCAGAATGTGATTTCTACTTTGGCAGCGTCCATCGGGATGGTCCATTACAGGTGATGGTCAGCACCAACGGGAATGGGCCTAGACTGGCCAGAATTGTCCGGAAAAAGGTTGCGGACGCTATCCCGGACAACATGGGGACTGCGATAGATAATGTGGGCAAATTACGGAAGAAGCTGAGGGAGATCTCTCCCACTGCCGAAGAAGGCCCGAAAAGAATGAAGTGGTATGTCAATGGCAAATGTCTACTTGCAACGAACATTGAAGCTGACACGGAGGTGTAAAAGGATGTCTGGTATTTGCGAATCCTGGAGTTTAGAGGAACTAGTGCAAATGGGTGAGCAGGATATGGATGGCCTCCTTGCCCACTACGCATCTGGGGAGATTCCAAGCTTTCAACAGACCCGAGTCGGTAACGCTTGACATTAAGTAATAGATAATAAATGCACACCCGAACATATCATACACTGCAGATAGCGAAAAGTACTTCGATTGTTTAGAAAAATATATATAAAAAATGCTAATGATAACTTTACATTGGCCCACTAGCCTAGAATGAAATCTAAGAAGAATTGCACAAGGATATCCAAAACACAAGCCAGGCAAATAAAAAATATCAATCTTCACAAAAATAAAGAAGACACCCAGAATCTCAAGACACGCCACTATACCTACGACTGTATTGCTGCGAAATAGAACTCCTTGGACTGATGGATGCTTGAGAAGGGGGCTTCGGAGGAGCCAAACCCAGCTTCACTTCTCCTACGCGGCGAAGTAAGGACTGGAGGGCAACGCGAATCTCGGGACTGAGATCACGGCCGAGAAGATCGAGGGCCAAGGGGTAAAATGTGTCGACGTGCTTATCGAAGCCTTCCGAAGGGAAGTTCGTGTAGCTCTCGAGGACGTCAACGACAACAGGGCGCCAGGCGACGATGTTACGGTGCTGCGATTCGTCGTCAAGGCGGACGAAGCTTCGGACAATGTCCGCGCAAAGTCTGTAGCAGGTTAGCCATTTGTTCTTAGATCAGTTAAATCAAGCGAGATACTTACGGGATAAGTGCGGCCTCAGTCTCACCACGGCTGCTCTTACGTTCCTCCCTCTCATCATTGTACATGCGGTAGAGGATCTGAACATAAGTCGCGGCACTCCCACTTTCTTGCTTGAGCAGGTTCGGCGGCTGCTTCATGAAGCCTTGACGCCAGAGCTGCATTCGGAGTTCCTTGTCCTCATTGAACTTCTTGGCGAATTGGTAGCTCTTCTTCAGAAGTCCCATTAACCGCAGGAGCTCATGGCTTGGAATCTTCTCGTAAACCTTATCGTTGGAGAAAAGCTCATGAACAGTCTCAATCATGAGTAATTGAAGAACGCAGTTCGTGATGATGCGGTTGAAGAAGCGACGCCGGGCCACAGTCACCGCAGTTGGCTGCTGCTGCATCTCCATCGTTTGGGGTCGGTAATCTTCCAACTCAGGGTTGGCTGGTGCTGGCACGTCGCCTTCTTCATGCTCAGATGACTCATTCCGCAACCCGTTGGTCTGGGGGAATTCAGCGTTAGTCTCCTCAATCGGTGTTGCGTCGGTAGACTCCGGTACAATTTCCCCGTTGGACGGCTTCCGCACTTTGGAAGGCATGGAAGCAGCTGCCGTGAACAGTTCATAGGCGGTGGTCTTGCTGAAGAGATCGACAAAAGCGCCAACCACCTTGGTCCAATGGTCTTGCTGGAACTTGGCAACATTCTGCAAAATCAATTGTTGTAAGCAGTTACTGCCAATTCGTGCAATCGTATCGTTCTCTTGGCAGATACACAGCGTGAGAAGTTCAAGCACACCCCCAAGCATGTATTCCAGTTTATCGAAGTAATGCGTGAAAAGAGTGATCATGTTCCTCAGCGCCTGGATCATGGTAGTCGAGAGCCACACTGACAGATCCTCGTGGTTCGGAACCTTGGACATTTCCGACTTCGATTGGAGAACGACAAAGATAGGGTAGAGGAGTTGTCTCCAGAGAACATTCCAGAATTCCCGAGGGAAGTCACCACCATATCGGATGAGTGTATCGAAGAGGTACGTAAGTGCCCGCGATCGCACCTCAAGGTCATCACCCGTCATGAGCACGTCCTGGAACGCAATCAAGAGGGGATACCAGAACTGTTCCTCCGGAGACTGGCGATTGAGTTGTTTCGCTAGGTTTGAGTTGGTATCCTCGAGCACGTTCTCCGATGGCATGCCACGGTGAGAAAGAGGACACTCAGGAGTCCTCATCATCTTGCCCACTGTTGCTCTGAGCGTCTCGATAGCTTGCAGCGACTTCTTCTGGAACCTTATGTTCTTCGAAAACTCCGTAAGGCAGACAACAAGGTCAGGGAATGCCCCTTGGGTTATGACCACACCGAATCGTGTGTTGTAGATCTGGGCTACATGGTCCATAGCCATATTGACAATACCTTCATAAGGCTCTCGAGCGGCGACGGTGAACACACCAAACATGGTCTTCCAGCCAGAGCGGATATTGTGCCCCCGAGCTTGGATCATCTGTATGAGACACCGGAGAATCATGTCCTTGACAGTAGCAGTACTGCTGTTTGCCATGACGTGCTCGAACGGCTTAAGGAAGTCCTTCTGGAATTTGAATCCCGGAAGTTCCTCGATTTCCATAAACCGCATCGAGAGTTGCCGGAGCGAGTCAAGCGCGAAAAAGACGACAGTCGTGTTTGAGTGGCACCCGACATGGTTGAAGTGCTGTCCGAGGACTTCCCAGATCTTCGACCATTCTATCCTGACTCGCGTCATGTTGTAGTAACTGATTTCGACCAGCTTCTGCAAACTGTATGTCCTGGGAGATTCGCTGTTTCCGGATGATTGGATTTCCTGCCAACTCACTTCGCTTAAAGCGCGGATGAAATCAATGATGGCCTCGTGGGAAAGGTTTGCGGTGTTGGTGAAGATACGGTCTACTCCCCGGATCATCTCAGCTGATCGACTTTCCATTGCAACCTCTGCGCGGAACCCAGCAGGAGGACCGTTGATGGATCGAGGGCGAGGACGTTTGCCTTGGAATGAACTGCGCGAAGGATCAGGAGGTGCTTGAGGCATGATCCGAGCTCTCGAAACATCGGGCAGTGAGCCTTCATCGACGCCATCAGTCAAAAGCTGGAGGCGATCAAGTTGGCTAACGCAGGTAAGAATTTCTCTCCAAGAGCCCTTTAGGGAGTTGCCCTCGGTAAGAGCCACTTCCAGCAGGACCTTCAGAGCTTCAACGTTCTTAGCCGTCATTTCCCTGATGTTCCCCAGGTTCGTGAACTTTGCGAGACCAGTGACGAAGGCCACTCTTGGGGTCTCTAAATCGAATGCACAGCTAATGCGTATCGCCAACTTCATGCCCTCCATGCAGAGCTTGAGGACCTCGAGATTCTCCGTGTCCCGCATGGGAGCAGTCAGGCCGGAAAGGAAAGACATCCAGGTAACATTGAACATGGAACCGACATGCCGGACAGACGTGGCCGGAATAAACCGTGAGAGCGCCTCTCTAACAGCTGTTTTCCGCTGGGCACGAATCAAGCTTCGATAGAGCTGCTCAGTCTTACTGGCCATCTCCTCGGAAGCTTGGGCATACTTTTCACCTTGGATGTCCCTTCCAACAGTCGCGAGGACTTGCCCGGCTCTGGACGCTAAACCAGTAGGAGCAGGAGTCTCAATACCAAGATTAGCAGCGTGCTCTCTTTCGGTGACAAGCACAATTTCGTTACTGGAGATCTCATCATAAATGGAGCCGAGATATTCGGGAGGCAAGTCTTGGTTGTCGTTGATGCCCCTGTTGTTCCTGATAAAATCTTCCTTCGTCATACGCGGCCCCTTCATCTTGGAACTGTGCTGGTCTGTGTTCAACATAATGACAGAGTACGCAAGCACATATGCCGTATCGGCATTCGCAAACGCGTTCGGATTCTGGGTAACATAGCGTTCTGCAAACTTGAGCATGAAACGGTCAATCTTCTGTGCTTCACCTGGCAACCGGAAGTGCTGCAAGAATTGACGCAGGGCATCCACAAAACGTCGCTTTTCGAATTCCATCATATCGACAAACGCATGCATAATGGCGATATTCTCAGCGCCACCTTCACCGAGATATTCACCCAGTATAGATTTGTCCAAGCGTTCATTCCCGAAGAAAAAACTGGCTACATCTTCGGGGGTCTCGGAACGTATAAAACCGTCTTTCAGCAGTAGCTTCATTCCACGTTTAGGCTTGAAGTTAAACTGTTGGACCGCGTTCGTGAGCGCAATCTTTCTTTGCTTGACTCTTTCAATTTCGCTCGGGTCATCCTCTGCCACCGGCGTGGATCGACCAGTGTCGCCATCCGTTACATCAATCCTGGGCGAGGAAAGATAGGTCCCTGCATTTGTGTCAATGGACTCTCTGGGGTTGTCCATCGACTTATGGGACGCTACGTTTGGAGTAACGGTTTGTTCGACGATGCGCTGTGCCGCCCAATTGTCCAGTGATTGCAAGATCTCCACCAGACTTTCGATGGCTTGATTTTTCAATACGTATTCTGGAGGAACATTTTGGAGATTAGGCTGTGGGGTAGTGGCAACGGCAACCGTCGTAAGCGATGGGGAGAGCGCGCCTCGTTGGTGCCAATCAGCTCCGAAACTGGAGAGCTTGGTATTGTTCTCCTGATACTGTTGTTGTTGGGCGGCTGTTACAGTCACTGGGACACTTGCATATCGCTGGAGTTGTTCAATAACACTGGACATATGTTAGCACAAGTGGACCCTCGTACAGAAGGCAATGCATACTTCTGGAATATATTCTCCAAAGCGGTCCGATCGCAGTCGTAATTGAGATAAATCTCTACCAATGCCCGAGGCTCGCCTGCCAGTCTTTCGAGAATCTCCATGAAGTACTGCTTTTGGAAAGAAGGCGAGTTCCGCTTCTCGAGTATAGCCAGGTAGATTTCCTTTAAAAACACCTCAAGCTCTTTCTGTTGCAAGTTAGAAATAATCTTATATATGGAACAGAATGCGACAGACCTTCATCATGACCCTCATGTGTTTAAGCATGAGCCAAAAGATCTCAGAGCAGACCTGGAACACCCTGAGTACGGAGCTTGAGCCATTCCGACTCAGACTCAGGCAGAGATGCGGCCGCACGGCTTGTAAAAGGGTCATGGCCTCCCCGTTGCTGGTGCCATTCTTGATTGTAACAAGCGGAGAGGTGAACACTGGGACTTGATTATGGATCAGGTAGTGGATGAGATGCAAGGACAGCAGCTTCGTCCTCATATTCTGAGATTTCAGATCTTGCTGCTGGTCATGGGTAAGGACCTTGTGACTCAATTTGCAAAGCGCCCTGAGAACCAGGAAAGCATCCTTGACGTAAATCTCGTCTTCTTCATCTTCTGTGGTACCATCTGCATAGTCTCGCTCATCCTCGGGAATGCCCGAGATAGACCGTGATGCCCTCTGACGGTTCATCCTGGCACGAGTGACCATTGTTGGAGCATTTTCATTAACAGACGCAACGTCCTTGCTCGATTCGAAACTTTGTAAAGTAAGCTTCTCTGCCGGTTCTTTAGTAACCGGCTGGTCTATTGTAACAGCAGAAGCAGTCTCCGAGGCCTGATCAGGCTCATTGGCGGGAGATGTTTCGGAAACATCTATAGCAATAGAGTCCGAAGCGCCGCCTTGCGATTTGTCGCCATCCCGCATCCGTAGTTCCTTCAGGTCAAGCCTCACACGCACCCTATCGAAAACTGTGCTAACCATTTGTGTGAGGGATCCTTGGGCGATTTGCTGGTTCGGGGTCGACTTGGAGTATATGAAAATATTATAAATCTGACGCACAGCCTTTAGGAGACCTGCTCCATGTACGACGATTTTGTCGTTGAGGACTGCCGCCAAAAGAGACTTAATGATTTGCTGCTGAATCTCGACCGGTGTCGCTTCATTCTCAAAGCATTCACAAATCGCATCGATGGCGCGCTCGATAAGCGGTGGCTGCTCCGAGCCAGCTTCACCTTCCGGAGTCTCGCTGTCCTTAGCCGAGGGGAAGGCGAAGTAAGAATAGGTGATCAGTTTTCCGATGCAATCCAGTGCCGTGACTTGTAGAGGAATGCTGAGCGACTTCGTGGCAATATGTAGTGGGCGAAAGATGACCTCTGGGTCAATTGGTTGGTGGTCCGATTGTTTGATGTTGGTAAGCGCATCCTTCACAGTATCCTCCAGCTGCTTGCTTTTCCGAGCCTCCTTCGAATTACTGATCGTGTCCAAGGCCGTTATGATGAACACAGTTGAACTGACAGTCCCGGATCGCTGCGTCGGAAATGTCGCTGTTGTTGACCTGGAATCTGAGCGCAATCGGCTTTCCGGGGCGGGCTCATCTTGCGGAGGCACGGTTACGGGTTCTTGTTTCTCGCTGGGCGATTCCTTTTCGACACTCACTGACGACTCGGGTGCTGGACTGTTGTCGCCGGCATCTTTCGATTCGGACCCAATCTCTGGATTGCTTTCGGGTACGGGTGTCTCAACGGCGTTCGTAGGACTTGGAGCTTGCTCCGGCTCGACGGACTCGGGTTGTGTTTGCGATGAATCTGGCTCTTCGGAGGCAGCAGCCTCAATTGTTTGTCGTTCTGATTCTTCGGGGTGCTCGGGTTTCTCTTCTTCCGCTGGCTGTGAGGTTTCGAGTTGTGTTGGTGCATCTACGCCGATCTCATTGTTCTCTGCCTGCGAGTGAGTCGGGGATGATTGATTCGGCTCATTTACAGAGCCATTTGCGACTTCCGCCATTTATGCAAGACTCCAACTGGAGTGCGTGAAGGTACACAAATTACGGGTCCACATCGAACAGGGGGAAAAAAAGAAAAGGGAGGGGGGGATGGTGCAAGGAAAGCGGCGGGTTGGTCTCACTGTACAGTTCCTGGGGTTGTGCCTAGCGGGCCGATAGGATGCGTGTCTACATTTCTACGGCTCGCGGTAAGTGCCGGACATGACGTGCTTACATAACCTGCCCCCGGCGGCTCGGCAGGATGATTCCGGATCGCTCACCGGAAAGCTCAACAGAAAAGTTCCTGGACGTTGGAGTCTCCCAACTCTCTGATATATCAGGATAACCAAGCCTTTCTCTAGCCCGCACATTCTGTTAGGCTCATTGCCAGCCTCTTTCGCTTCTATTTTTTCATTTCGCTTGAGCTGCGGGGCTACGATTGATATAGATACCCCATCTTGGCGCTATGGTTGCCTCTGCTGTCCGAATGCGCCCCGGCGCCATGTTTATGTCCAAGGGCGCTGCTTGCCTGAAGAGGCCTCAGGTTGTCCACAGATTTAAGGATGCTGCTCAGTATGTTGCATTCCCACCCCTTCCCCGGTACCTATATTGATGGAGGTTAACCTATTATATCATTGTTTAGAACTCAATTGCCCGCCTTGTCTGCCCTCTCTCGCTTCTATGCCTCCAAGTGTATGTCACTGAGAACTTTTTCTCCGACTTACCCCGACTCTATATCTACAGCTTATTCGTCTGAAGATGGTTCAATTCTGACATGACGGAACTACAGCCTTCCCCTCCCACACCATCATTAGCATGCCGGCCTTGTCGCCGACCATGTCTGCTGGAAACATCGGAGCATGGCAGAAGAAGGCCGGTGATGGTCTGCAACCCGGTGACGTCCTTGTGGAAATCGAAACCGATAAGGCTCAGATGGACTTTGAGTTCCAAGATGAGGGTGTCCTTGCCAAGATCCTGAAGGACCAAGGTGAGAAGGACGTCGCCGTCGGCTCTGTATGTGCTCTATATGACGTATCTGGTTAGGATAGTAAGCAGGTTTGCTAATTGCTTGATACAGCCCATCGCTGTCCTTGCGGAAGAGGGTGCCGACGTTTCTGCTTTCGAGTCGTTCAGCTTGGAGGATGCCGGTGGTGACAAGGGCGCCGCCCCCGCCGAGGAGAAGAAGGAGCCCGAGTCGAAGGGCGCCGAGGCCCCAGCACCCGCTGAGCCCGAGCCCGTTGCTCAGGAGCCCGACACCACTGGCGAGAAGCTTCAGCCCAGTCTCGACCGTGAGCCCTTGATCAGCCCCGCTGCCAAGGTTCTCGCATTGGAGAAGGGTGTGTCCATCAAGGGTCTCAAGGGAACCGGACGTGGTGGTCAGATCACCAAGGAGGATGTCGAGAAGTTCAAGTCCAGCGCACCCGCTGCCGCTGCTGGCGCGAGCTACGAGGACATTCCTCTTACCTCGATGCGCAAGACCATTGCCAACCGCCTTCAGCAGTCCACCCGCGAGAACCCCCACTACTTCGTCTCGACTACTCTGTCGGTGAGCAAGCTCATGAAGCTCCGCCAGGCTCTCAACGCCTCTTCCGAGGGCAAGTACAAGCTCTCGGTCAATGACTTCCTTGTCAAGGCCTGTGCTGCCGCTCTCCTCAAGGTTCCCGCTGTCAACTCCAGCTGGCGCGAGGAGAACGGACAGGTTGTCATCCGCCAGCACAACAGCGCCGACATCAGCGTTGCCGTTGCCACCCCTGCTGGCCTTATCACTCCCGTCGTGAAGAACGCTCAAGCCCTTGGTCTGTCCAGCATCTCCAACCAGGTCAAGGACCTTGGTAAGCGTGCTCGTGACAACAAGCTGAAGCCCGAGGAGTACCAGGGTGGTACTTTCACCATCAGTAACATGGGCATGAACGCCGCCATTGAGCGGTTCACTGCCGTTATCAACCCCCCTCAGGCCGGTATCCTGGCCGTGGGTACTACCCGTAAGGTCGCTGTCCCCGTCGAGACTGAAGAGGGTACCTCTGTCGAGTGGGACGACCAGATCATCGTCACTGGCAGCTTCGACCACAAGGTCGTTGACGGTGCTGTCGGTGGCGAGTGGATCAAGGAGTTGAAGAAGGTTGTTGAGAACCCCTTGGAGCTCCTCCTCTAAGGGTGATGTGACGATGGACAGTCCTGACGTACTTAGTAGATCTATGTATGATTGGGATTTCATTTTGAGTTAATTGTGTCTTTATATGTATTAAAAATCTGTTTCTTTTTGCGTCTTCATCTTGCAGACCGTAATGGGTCTGATTTCATGAGTTTCATTTTGAGCATCGTCAATACAATTTCCTTTATCTTTCATCCTTGAGTATATCTCTATCTTTAAATGGCATTGAATGGAAAAGGTTTCCTGGTTTAGATTGAACCTTGGCATCCACCCGGCACGTGCCGACTCCACCACCACACGATATCGATGACGTTATGTTGTCACTGCAGCAAGGTTCCGGCGGTTGCTGCTTGCTTTAAATACCCTCGCCAGCCACTGTCGTCTTTTTCTCCCTCCCTCTTGTTCTTCAGAGATATTACCCCTGATTTTCCATACACATCCTCCCTCAATTCTCTGGTAAGTCATTCTTACTACGATGCCCCTCATGACACCATACACCATACCTCAATGGCTATTTCGCCTCCAAGAATATGAAATTCACAATTCTGGAGAAGCCACTTGACTAACTGCTGGTACTCTGTATATCTCCAGATCCTTTTTCTGTCGTGAATTTTAAAGAATTGCTCAGACTTCCTCGACCCAATAACACCATGTCTTACGCCGACGCTGCAGCAAGAGGAGCCAAGCAATCCCCGGAAGATGTGAGTATCCTCCAATTGACTGTCCCTTTCTTATTGTTCTGTTCGCGATATTCCACACAGTCAATGGCAAATGCTAACCACCGTTTCTTATTCTTAGGCGTGAGTCAACCTGACAAGTCGTATGACTCGCCCGTGAAATGACGTAACTAACCAAACCCAAAAATAGCCGCGCTCCTAGAGTCGAAGCAATCTACAGAGACGAATCGGAGAATCCCGCAACTTTGGTCGATGTCGATTCCCCACACGTGTCATCCGTTGATCCGAACTTCCTGAACCAAAACGTCAAAACCGGCACCCAGGCCGAGCGGCTACAACGCGAGCAGGAGCAACAGACCGTCGAAGGCCAGAACAAGGCTCGGAAGGCCCGCGCGAAGGCAAAGGCCGAGAAGTCCAGTCTGAGCGCGAACAAGGGCAACCCGGTCTTTGTGAGCAATGCTGTATTGCTCGGCTTGGCCGGTGCTGGACTGGGGTACGGCGCTTACCAGAAGCATCTGAGCGGCAAGTTGTCTTGGGAGCTTGTTGGTCTCTGGTCTGGGGCTGTTGGCGCCTTTGGTGTGGCGGACTATTTTGTGAGCAAGTAAGTTTATTCTGGAGATTAGTGCTAGGCTGCAAAGGACTTTGGCTAACAGATGTTTTTTCAGATGGCTCATTCAGAACAAGTATCCCAAGAAATAAATGTAGGATACCAAAAAGCAATCGGGGTTTTGTTCGGTTAGAAGGCGTCTGTGGCCCGACGGCGGATTTCCCTTATATACCATTCCCGCTCAATGATTGAATGATGTACTGTCATACTCTAATACTAGTTTGTAACCCGTCATTTTCACTTCTCAATTCCGAGAAACTGTAGAACAAGTCTACGCATGTATATATCGAGCATATCCTGCATAATGGACAACTGAGTTTGGCACCAGCACAAACAAAGGCCATGCAAGAGCTAAAGCATTAGCAATCTGCAGGTCATACCAGTTAGACTAACATAGCGTAGAAGGAAAAAAAAAAAAAAAAAAAAAAAACAGCCTTAAGATGAAGCCTCAGCCCAAGGCGGTGAGGGCCGTCAGAATCGCAAGAACATGTGGCCTCGGGACCACGTTGCTTGAGCAAACATCTGCCGGCGTATGCATTTGGAATTATTCAAATCTTGACTATCCGGCGACATTTTATAACAGTTTACGCACCGGCTTCCCTCCTTGAAGAGCGCGCAGTCGCTTCGTTAGGCTGCGGGATCAACTATACAGACTGAGCAGGAAAGCAAAACAAACAAACAACATGGTACGTACTGCATACCGCAGAGAGTCAATGGTGGAGATTTCTAATGACTTTATATTGCATAGAACTCGCTTTTCAATTCTGCACTTAAGCAGTCGTCTGCGATCCGGCGGGATTTGGAGACCTTTTCGGAGTCGCCCGCGACGTCATCTGCAGCACTACAAGGTGAGTCGCTTTCGGATGAATACGCATGTCTGCTTCGGGGTAGAAGACTGATAGTTCTCTATGCAGGCCAGATCGCAGCTTCGTTAGCATCGCTATCGCGAACGGTGGACGACTACTCGGCGTTATCCAAGAAGGAGTTGATCCCTGCGAAACAAGAAAAGGCGTTTGAACGGGTTAAGAACTTCCGAACAGAGCTTGGGGACTACAGACAACAATTTGACAGCCTGCGTAAAGCGCGAGAAGATGCTGTAAGTATTTTTCTTCTCGTTTTACATTGCGACTATCGCTGACAACAACTATAGCAATCCATGTCGAACCGCAACGAGCTCCTTGGCCGTCGACCGCACCATGCCGCGACTCCGGAAAACCCCTACGCACAATCCGCCCTCCCGCAATCATCGCCCTTCGCCCCCTCGACTACGGCGCGATCTGGACTTAGCTTTGGCGCATCGCCGGCCGACTATAACCGAGAAACCCACGCGTTGCGCGAACAGTCATTCCTGGGCAACACTAGTAACCAGCTAGATGAATTTCTTGACCGGGGGCGCGCGGTTCTTGCGGATCTGGGACAGCAGCGGGAAGTTCTCAAGGGTACGCAGCGGCGACTGTACAGTGTGGCCAACACGCTCGGAGTCAGCGGGGATACGATTCGGATGGTGGAGCGACGGGCTAAGCAGGACAAATGGATTTTCTGGGTTGGAGTGTTGATATTCTTCTTGTTCTGCTGGGCAGTGCTGCACTTTTTGCGATGAGCATTGTCTCCTTTGTTATTATAGTTTCTTTGTATTATTGCTTTGGTTTCTCAAGCGCCGGAGTTCGGATGGATTGGCATGCGGTTTTCTGTGTTTACTCTGGTTTGTTGTATATCCTGAATGTAAAACATTCGAATCGCGCAACTAAAGTACACAGCTAAAGTACTCGCATTAGCATCGGCAGACCGAAAGATTATCAGATATGATCGATTAAGCTTTGACATAGTGTAGAGTCCGTGTGTTTCTGTATGCCATCACAGGATCCGATGATCCATTTCTCCGACCTAGCCGAGTTTCCATGTGGAATGGCGCTGGAGTTCCGAGAATTGTCCATTGCTCCATGTTTCTATCAGGGGCTTCGTTGTACAGAGTAGTTCCTGTGCATTATAGTTGTGTTGTTGTTGTGGTTGCGTTGCGCCGAGGCTGTTGCTATCCACCATAATACAGTGTGCACACAAGTGCTCTATTGTACAAGTACCTGTCTCTACAACCCCATGAATATGAATATGAATACTAGATTAATGGCAATAATATAATAGAATAGAAGAATAACACCATCCATCCACCCGACATATACTCCATACTGTTGTGGTGATATTGCGGCATCGGAACCGACAGCCGTTTTGCCCAAAACGATTAGTGGGCACTCACCGGGCAACCCGTTTTCTTCCTTTTTCCCTCGTGTCGCTCTCTTCCTCTTTTCTTCTTCTTCTTCCCCTCCACTTCAATCTATCAACTCTTTTATTTTCACTCTACACTCTCCTATACCCCATCCTTTTCACAATGTTCGCCGCTCGTCAGTCCCTCAACCTCTTCCAGAAGCGGGCTTTCTCCGCTTCCGCCAGCCAGGTGCGTGCTGTGCCTCAGCTCGGTGCATTTACAGAAAAAGAGCTGTCCCAGATGAGCTATCTTGAAGCAAGCCTGCTAACATTTCTTCTCAACGATAGGCCTCCAAGGTCGCCGTCCTCGGTGCTGGTGGTGGAATTGGCCAGCCCCTCTCCCTCCTCTTGAAGCTCAACCCCCGTGTTTCCGAGCTCTCCCTCTACGACATCCGCGGTGCCCCTGGTGTCGCTGCTGACCTCGGTCACATCAACACCAACAGCACCGTCACTGGCTACGACCCCTCCTCGAACTCTGGCCTCAACGATGCCCTCAAGAACTCTGAGGTCGTCCTCATCCCTGCTGGTGTTCCCCGTAAGCCCGGCATGACCCGTGACGGTACGTTCTACCAGCCAGAGATTTTAGTGATTGAAACAAACTGACTAGTATAGACCTCTTCAACACCAACGCCTCTATCGTCCGTGACCTCGCCAAGGCTGCTGCTGACGCTGCCCCCAACGCCAACGTCCTGGTCATCTCCAACCCTGTACGTACATCTCCTGTTTGAATGCTAGCAGTGGTCTAATTGAACAGGTCAACTCTACCGTCCCCATCGTCTCCGAGGTCTACAAGTCCAAGGGTGTCTACAACCCCCAGCGTCTCTTCGGTGTCACCACCCTTGACGTCGTCCGTGCTTCTCGCTTCATCTCCCAGCTCAAGGGCACCGACCCCGCCAACGAGAAGGTCCCCGTTGTCGGTGGTCACTCCGGTGTCACCATCGTTCCCCTCCTCTCCCAGTCCAACCACGCCGACATCGAAGGTACTCCCCGCGACGAGCTCGTGAACCGCATCCAGTTCGGTGGTGACGAGGTCGTCAAGGCCAAGGACGGTGCCGGTTCCGCCACCCTCTCCATGGCTTTCGCCGGTGCCCGCTTCGCCGAGTCCCTCCTCAAGGCCGCCCAGGGCGAGAAGGGTGTCATCGAGCCCACCTTCGTCGAGTCCCCTCTCTACAAGGACCAGGGTGTCAACTTCTTCGCCTCCAAGGTCGAGCTCGGCCCCAACGGTGCTGAGAAGATCCACCCCGTCGGCAACGTCACCGCCTACGAGCAGAGCCTCCTTGAGGCCTGCCTTGGTGACCTTAAGAAGAACATCCAGAAGGGTATTGACTTCGTCAAGGCCAACCCTTAAACGGTTTGTATGACTACGGTTACACATGATATGTATTTCCTATAAAATCAAAACTTTAATGATGTCTGTATGATCAATCTGCTCGTTCTCAAGGCATTGCTTTCATAAATTGCAACTAAATTGGCTACGTAGGCCAAGAAACAAACAAATAGCCAAGCCATTAGTACTAAGCGGAATTTAACCCGTCGCTCGTCGATACTAAGCAAGACGTTGAATAGATAAGACTAGATGAGACTTCAACCAAATCATGCCAAGGAGAATACGGAATAGGTAGACTCAAGTATAACTCCTCATCGCATCCAAATACCCCGGACCACCACGAAGATCCCGATCAAAAGTCTCGGCGACCTCGAGAACACGCTTGATATGGTTCATCGAGAGCGGCGACTTCTCATTAACGGCTAGGGCTTGCGCCGTGCGCACGGAGTTTTTGATCTGTCTCGTTAACATCGAACATAAAACAAAGTGAGAAAGTGGGGGATATAGGGGACCTACCTGTCGACCATTCATATTATGCCGCGCAAGCGCATCGAGATCCTTATCCGTGAAATCGGCCGTCTGCACACCCTCCACGGCTTGCACCTTACCCAGGAACATCTTCCACACGCTGCGCTTAGCCTTGGAGGTGAGATCGCCATACCGCAGCGCGATATGGATACGAGACTGGAAAGCATCGTCGAAAGTCTCCACGCGGTTCGTCGTGAGGAACAATATACCCTGGAAATACTCCAGCAGACGCAAGAAAACGCTCACGAGCGCGTTGCGGTGGATATCGTGCAGGCCGCGCTTTTCGAGGAAGATATCTGCTTCATCGAGGAGGAGGACTGCGCCCCATGTGTGTGCTATGTCGAGGATGTTGTTTAGTTCTTTCTCGAGAGTACGGGAGTTTATGCCGAGTTCGCCCATGCTAACTGTGTACAGCGGGCGTTTGAGGAGTTCCGCGATACCCTCTGCTGTTAGGGTTTTGCCTGTTCCCGGGGGCCCGTGGAGGACGGCGACGAGGCCGCGGCCTTTACCCTGGATGACGTCGTCGATGTTCTGAGCTTCGTTGTAAGTGTGAGATTCGACGAGGGCTTTTACGATGGATTTCTGGTTATCGGGCAGGACGAGGGAGTCGAAGGCGTGGTGGTTCCAGTCTATTTCGCGGATGCCGGAGACGGAGAACTCGAGCCACATTTTCTCGTTGAAGGCGAAGCCGCGCACGACGGGGCTGGCGATGATGAGTTCTTCATGGGTGAATTCGCGCTCTGCGATGCCATCCATTGTCTCGTCTTGGATTTCGTTGCCGTATTTGTCGACTTTGACGCGGACGCTGTGTTGTTTGCCGTTGGGGTCTTGGACGGTTCGATGCTCGTAGACGATTATGTTGCTTGGTAGCGCGTCTTCGTCTTCGTCGTCATCTGCGTCGGCTATGTTTGCGTCGGCGTTGCCGTCGTCTTGGTTTCGGCGGATGCGGTCGACTGGGTAGTTAGGGTTGACGCGGGTGTGGGTGGTTGGGTCGACCATGACACGGCCGTTGACGTTGATCTTGGCAACGCCTTGCTCTTTTCTGCAGAATGCCATGCCTTGGTGGTACTTGTAGTTCTGGCCCTTTAGCGAGGCGAACTTTCTACCGCGTTCGATCAATTTGGCGCGCAAGTCGTCCGCTTCGCGGTGGTGGTGCAGCGGGTAGCAATCTAGACTGGTGATTTTGCGGGAGCCCTTGAATGCGTTTATGGCTTCTGCTATGCTGACCACGCCGAAGCGTTTGCCGTCGTAGCTTAGGTAGTGGCCTTTGATTCTGTACGACTCGCCATCGATGAAATGGGTGTATTTCGTGACGGATTCTACCTTGAAAGCGCGGGGCTCGTCTTCGTTTCCGTATGTTGACGCGTACGCAATGGTATTTGGTTTAAACAGGGCCCACATGAGATCGAATGTGATCGTGTTGGAGTTCAGAATCGCGTTCAGGGCCTTCTTGGTTTCCGCGTAGTCGGTGTCGAGGTATTTGACGAGAACCTTGAGATGGGCAGCTTTGGTGGCAGCGCTTTTGCGCACTTTGCTCTTCTTCTCGGTTTTTGAAAGCTGCTTCTGAGTCTTCATGTACTGGCGGGTTTCTTCGAGGTACAGGAAGAGCATGTTGGGATCGAGCGATGGCTTCTCTTCGACCAGGCTGACGCCTTTGACGCCGGCCATTACTTTGGTGAGAGCCTCGCGAAGGGGCTTGCTTCTGATGTCCACCGTCGTTGAGGCGTGTTTGTTGTCATCGTCGAAGGTTCGGCGGACTGTGAAGATGTACTGGTCCCATTCATCGGCGTCTTCTTTTTCGACGGTTTCTGACAGTTTGTAGTCATGGATGGTGTTGTCCCACACTGTACAGTTAGAATTGTGAGATACAGAAAAATCATGGAAACGTTAACACACATTGGTCAACCCGTTTGAACTCCACCTTGGTCCCTATCTTGATCTTATCCTTCTTGCTCTTCTTGGGCTCTTCCTCAGGGGCTTCTTTCTGACTGGCTCTATGGTTGCACTGAACAAGATTCTGGTTGCGGCGTGCCTCGTTCAGCTCAGCTTCCATTGCCGTCAGTCTTTTGGCCAATGCGAGGATAAGGTCAGTAGACTCGGCGCCTTGACCCGGCTGATTTCCAGGTTGCGGGGCTGGAGGTTGTGGGGTATCCTTAGAAGAGTCAGATCCATTGTCGCTGCGATCGGACTCGGTCGTTGAGTCTGCTGAGCGATGCGCTCGGGATTTCTTCGTTTTCTTTTGGTTCCTGCGCCTAGACCTCTTTGTCTTTGACTTTGTTTGCCGTCGTTGCTCTTCCTCTGGTTCGGAATCCGAGGGGTCTGAAGAAACCGTTTCTGGCGGGGACGTACTCTCATCGGTGTTCTCATCAGACGACGACCCTGAGGATTCGTCTTCGCTGGAGGAGGACGAATCTTCGTGCTTTGGTTCTGGTTCATGCTTCTTCGTCTTCTTCGGACCGGGCTGGTTCTTCTTGGGCTGCTTGTCGATCTCCTCCACGACAGTAGCCACAGGCGCCGTGTCTTGGCTGTCAGGGGTGTTGCTAGTATTGTTGGTGGTAGAGTCTGGGGTTTGCGTGGGATCGGCCATCGTGTCGATCTAGCTTGTGGTTAGATAAGATAGCCGGTGGATGGAATATATGTATGTACCTTTTAGCAAGAAGCAAGCAAAAGCAAGAATGTGGAGTGAGAAGAAGAGAGCAAGAGAAGAAAATATAAAAGAAGGAAAAAAAAAAAAAGATAAGTGAATATTTGTTGTCAAGCGGTGTGATTGACGTCTTGAATGTCTGACAAACAACTAATATGCATATCAACCGGGCGTCATTCCTGCAAGGATGCTAGCTTTGCTTACTTTTCGGTAGTACAATACACCTCAACAACAGTATTGTTGTGAGTTACAGGGCTGCAAGAGTATTTGCATCTAGATAGGTTGAAGTTAGTAGTAGTAGTAGTAGTAGTAGTAGTAGTAGTGGTAGTAGTAGTTGCTATTTAACGTCGGGAAAGACAGGTTGAGGTTTCGCAGGTTATTGTATCCTGGACTTTCTCATATATCACGTGGTATCGTACGTGGCTTTCGACAGAAATACGGGCATCCTTCCGAGTTGTTACGATTGGCTGGCTATCTAGTTAGATGTTGAGAATTTAGCAAGAGAAGGCCGTATTAAAGCAGAAGGGTTAATGAAAAGATCACCCGCGGAAAGATAGTGGAATAATGCCAGACATACAATGGAACTCGCCATTTATTCACTCTGGCTTTTATAAAATGGATTTCGCTAGAAGTCACCATGACAACTGTGGCTTCTATTCACTATAACACTCCTTCTTTAACCGTGTTATACACCTCCTTCGCGAAGTCGACATGTCGTTTACACCACCCAACAACACCATCACTTTCCCTTTCAAAACCGAAGAAGTTGATCCGCATACTCTTGCAGTGATGTCTGATGCTGAGAGCATGTTCACCTCTGGAATCAAGAGCGAGCAGGACGAAGAGGTAAGTCGAGCCATTCCATAACAAGACAGCGTGCTAATCACCCGTCCATCCAGGAAGAAGTTCCTGCTCCTCTATCGACTCCGAAAAAGCGCGGCAAGAAGACTACCCATGCGAACGACGACGATGACGACTCTCCAGCTAAAAAGACCAAGAAAAGTCCCTCCAAGAAGACTGGCGCCCTGGGCCCCATCCCCACGACCCTCGATGAAGCCAGCGCCGAGGATAAAATGATCATCCGCATGAAGGAAGTGGAGGGCAAGCCCTGGGCTGATATCCGCAAGGCTTTGGAAAACATCACAGGCACGAATCTTGGGCGCAGCACTCTACAGATCCGCTATACCAGGATGAAGACCAATTTCGTTGTGTTCGACAAAGTTGATGTACGTTGGTCCATGTACGTTGGTCCATGCACGTATTAGGTGCGCATTACTGATAGACTGTCAATAGGAGCCCCGTCTGTTCCAGGCCAAGAAGGAGATCGAGGAGCGCTTCGAGTCGGGGAAGTGGCAGAAGATCGCGGATTGGATCGAGGCCAATGGTGGGAGCAAATATCCGTCGACGACTGTACAGAAGAAGTACAAAGAGCTCAACAAGAGGAACGTTGGAAACGGTGTCGCTGCTACTGCCATGGAGGAAGAGGAGTGATTTGGGATTTGGGCTGTTTGGAATCTATATTATTGGAACCGTATTCAATCAATGGGTGTAATGTAAGGTGACGCATCAAAGCAAAGTACATAGGATCCTGCCAGAGGCTCAGTCAACGGAGCTCGCCTTCAATTCACTCCAGACTTGTATAAGATCTTGCGTAGCCCCCTCTGTTTAACACGCTACTTTTTTATTCACTTCAATAGCATCTGTCAAGCTCCACCCCCACTTGTTTTCTTGTGTCATAAACCTCTCATTTTCCCTATTACACCAACACCAGACATCGAACAACACAAGGAACATGTCTTTTACCGCACTTAATGGTGAAGACATGGAGCTTCCCTTCGCAAAGCACGAACCCATCGATTCGACCGGCATCACCTTGACCTCTGAGTCTTCGACTTCCAAGGTCAAAGAGGAGCCAAACGATGGAGTAAGCTGTCTCCCTACCACTATACCTCAAAAGAGCAACACATTTGAACAACACTAACTGCTATCTTACAGATAAAAACATCTGTCACCCCCCAGAAGCGATCGCGCGGAAAAAAGCAGCCTTCAACCGACCCAGACGCCGAAGCAAACGACAACGACGAAGGAAGCCCCACAAAGAGATCCAGAAAGTCCCCCGGCAAGAAGATGACTGTTCTGGGTCCGGTGCCGGCAAGCTATGAGGAGGCTGGTCCAGAGGACAGGATGATTCTGCATATGAAGGAGAATGAGGGGAAGGGCTGGGGTGAGATACAAAAGGCGATTGAAGAGGTTACTGGAAATAAGCTTGTAGGTAGTACGCTTCGGGTGCGCTATATGAAGTTGAAAGTCAATTTCGTTGTTTTTGAGAAAGAAGATGTGAGTTGTCCCCTCTTTCGCCTTCTTATTTCTAGTTTCTTCCCTAGATAATTGACAGAGACTGACACGCAACCAGGAATCCCACCTCCTACAGGGAAAAAAGGAATTGGAAGAGAAGTGGGAGCATGAAAGGTGGCACAGAATCGCCGAGTACGTCGAAACGAAGGGTGGGAACAAGTACCCTGCAGCTGCGATACATAAAAAGTTCAAGGAACTAAGCAAGTGAACTGGTTGCGTCGGTACCTGTACGGAGGAGACCCGCGGTTTGTTCGAGCGACATAAGGGGGCTTTCTTCAGGGTTATTCAGGACTTCATCGAGCTGGGGTATTCGGTCCGCTATGGGGTTCTCAATTGCATGGATTATGGGGCTCCGCAGTCTAGAAGACGACTGACCATAATTGCCTCCGGGTATGGTCGCTGTTTGGCCTCGCGTTCAGCTCTGGGAAAAGTATCAGTCGAGGTAATTGTCACCTAGCAAATAATGAATTTCAGCCAATGGTTATTCCCAGAGGTTCTGATGTACAATGAAACATGCCGCCATCCATTTAGACTTAGATAATGTATAGTGCCTATTGTTGCTTGCTCTATTCAATTCAATAACACAGCACCTTCTCCCTCAACTTTCTTCTACATTACACCAGCAACGAACAGCTAAACCAGCAATGTCCTTCACGTCTACCAGCGGAAACACCATGGACTTTCCTTTCGCAAAAGAAGAACCCGTTGACGATCTAAACGAAATGGCTATAATTCCAGAATCCCCGACCCTCAAAACCAAACAAGAAGCAGACCACGATGGATGAAAACGAATCCCCCACCAAGAAAAGCATGGCGAAATCCCCCGGAAAGAAGGCTGGCTTGGGCCCTATCCCAACGAGCTACGAGGACGCGAGTGAGGAGGATAGATTGATTATTAAGATGAGAGAGAAAGATGGACAGGGATGGTTGGACATTCGCAAGGTTATTGAGGAGATCACTGGTGTCAAGTTTGGTGGTAGTAGTCTTTCAAACCGTTATGGGCGCATGAAGGCCAACTTTACTGTTTTCGAGAAAGAGGACGTATGTTGCTACAAACTCCCCTTTTTATCTTTTATAGCATGGTACTGACATGCAAACAGGCAGATTACCTTTTGCAGGCAAAAAAGGACATCGAAGAGATGATGGAGCATGAGAAATGGCAGAGCATCGCCAATGCCATTGAAGCAAAGAGCGGAAACAAGTATCCTACGTCTGCGGTGCAGAAGAAATCCAAGGAGTTGACCAAGAAGGTCAACGGAAACGGGGTTGCTGTGGCTGTCGAGGAAGAGTGAGATTCATGATAAGGGACCTGTTACTGTCCAAGATCTGGGATACGGTTTGAATTGGATTTAGCCCTGGGATGTGCGACGGAGGATCAGATGGAGTAGCTCGATATTAGTAGTTATAAAAAGGAATGGCTATGTTCCAGTCAACTGTTATTCCGAGAGGTTCAGGAAGTAATGAGAATACCATTGATTTACTCCGGGACCCTAATAAATACAATTGCATAGTCACTTTACCCACCGCACTTACCTCAGTAACACTTCCCCAACATCTCCTGTGTACACACCTTTCTTCTTCCCACGTCCCAGCGACAGAAAACCGACTCATAATGTCATTCACGTTCATAAACGGCGATAACATGGACCTTCCTTTCGCTAAAGAGTCATTCAATCCAAGCGGAATGACCATGATCCCAGTGTCACCAAAGTCCAAGGTCAAAAAAGAGGAAGACGAAGTAAGTCTCCCACTACTGGTTCCAGATATCTAGAATAACCCACTATATCCAACAGAGCGAACCCCCCGTCCCTACAGTAGCCCCGAAGAAGCGAGCTCGTGAAAAGACGCAAGCCACAGAAGACGAGAACGAATCTCCAGCAGAAAAGAACAGAGCCGGAACGAAAGTTGGTCCTTTGGGCCCGATCCCTACAAGATACGAGGAGGTCGAATTGGAGGATAGATTGATTATCGAAATGAGGGAGAAGGATGAAAAACAATGGCTGGATATCAAAGCGGCTATTGAGGAGATTACCGGCACGAAATTTGGCAACACCACCATGAAGAACCGTTACGCGCGCATGAAAGCCAACTTTGTCGTTTTTGAAATGGAGCATGTATGTCTCTTTATGTTCTTTGTCGTTGGTACAAGGCTAATAATGCGATGCAACTCCACAGGAGTCGATTCTCTTGGATGTCAAGAAAGATGTTGAGGAAAAGTTTGAGATTGAGAAATGGCAGAAGATCGCCGATGGCATTGAGGCGAGATGTAAACAGAAGTATCCGGCTACTGCCATTCAAAAGAAGTATAAACAACTGAGCAAGAGGGTCAAAACGAGTGGACCAGTCGTAAACGATGAGTGACTATTAGGAGGTGCGGGTTGTATTTAGCCCTATCGAAACAGTACATAGTTATATAATCGCAACTTTTCAATACAAAAGACAAGCTAATTGTTATTTCAGTTCACGGTATAGCTTAATTGCCATTAACTTATGTAGTGACCTTGTGGCGGACGATTTCTACTGTTCCTATTCATTTCAATAACACTGCGGCTCTTGGTCTTCCCCTCCTCTCCAACTCTGCCTCCTGCGCGCACTTCTCCCTTGCGCACTTCTCTCTTAAACTTTCCATACACCAGCGGCAACATGGCGCCTCCTTTGCGAGAGAAGATCTGATTGATTTGAGCCAAAGAGACTTGGCAAAGTCCCCTGGCCCCTAAGGTCAAAGAAGAGGCCGACGGAGTAAGTATTTCACATCCCTTAACCACTAGTTAGCACCCCCATTAATCCGACTCAACAAAACTTCACCATTCCTACATCAAGTCCGAGGAAGCGATCTCGCTGGGAGAAGGTCACGATTGATAGAGGCAACTCAGATGAGCAGGGATCTCTCTCTAAGAGAAGCAAGACCAATGAAAACCCCTTCGTTTTCGAGCGTGATGTATGTTCCTTCCCGTCCTGAGTTTTTTTTTGGTATTCCATGCGTTTGGTAACTAACAAGAAAATGTGGACATTAAGCAACTGTTAGAGGTCGAGACAGGCATTGGAAATGAACAAGAGACTCCAGCTTTAGCCCCAGATGTTCATCATCCAGCACCTGGCTCGCAAACAACTTCAACTGACGCTTCTTCTCTGCCCCTGCAGTTCGGGCCAGCGACCGCATATCCTCACTTTTATCGTCTCCCCGGCGTTCCCCGCGCATATCGCCCGTCTTTAGCTGCAGAAGCTGCCCAAACCTGCGTCCGCTGCGTGGAGTTACTGAAATCTGAGCCGGACCACCGATACCGCAAGTGTGAATATTGTACAAAGATAAAGAAGCCTTGTGTTTTTATTCCACAGCCCTTGCGGTCCAACGTCGCCCATCCCCTAAAGCACCGGACGGACGCTGATTTCACTCAGCAGGCGGAGAGGGTTGGTAAAGATCGAAGAAATGGAGGCGTATATTTGCCATGATCATAGGGAGGCTGGTGGCGAGCTGGCTCAGTTGGTTCACTTGGGGCGTTGCATTAATAGGAACCTTTTCCGTATTGCTAATGCTTTGCAAGGCGCGGCGGGTGGTGAGGAATATGAGGAGGAAGACGAAGAGGTTGAGGAAGATGTGCTTAGCGGAGCTGTCGCGTAGGCTTGACTATTGTTGGTGCTTATCTCTACGGTAGCCCTGAGGCAATGGATAAAACAGAGTACATAATTGAATAGTGGTTAGCGCTCAATAAAATGATAGCATCAATGGCTATCGTCAGAGGCTCAGGAAATCTGTACAATGAAGCTTGTTGTCATTCACTATAGACTCCTTTAAATTAGACCTGCATTGTGACCTTTTAACACTTTGCACCTATTCAATTAGTGACACCTCATTATAGTCACCTCCAACTTTCTTTCTTATGTTATATACCTCCCTCCTCTCCAGCGACAGCTACCCAACGTCTAAAGAATTATACATTGTCATTTACGGCAATCAACGGTGACGCTATGGATCTCTCTATCGCAAAGGACGAGCCAGTTGAGTCGAACGAGACGGCAATGTCCCCCAAATCCCCGCCCCCCGAAGAGCAGCTCAGCGAAGTAAGACATCTTCCTCGCTATTCCCAAGCATATCCAATAACCTCCTCCATTATACAGAGCGAATCCCCCGCTCCCACCCCCACGCCAAAAAAGCGCCCCCGCAAGAAGAACACCACCGACGCAGACGAGCAGGAATCACCCACCAGAAAGACCAAGACCAAGTCTCCCAAGAAGGCCGTCGGCCTCGGTCCTATCCCCACCAGCTACGAGGAGGCCTCCGACGGAGACAAGCTGCTTATTCGCATGAAGGAGGTTGACAACAAGCCCTGGGCAGAGATTAAGAAGGCATTGGAGGGTATTATGGGTACGGACTTGGGGAAGGGCTTGCATGTTCGGTATTCGCGGATGAAGGCGAATTTTGTGGTTTTTGAGAAGGGTGATGTATGTTGTTTTCCTTCATGGTGCTGGTGAGAACTGGAAGCTAACAGTCGTGACAGGAGCAAGTTCTCATGCAGTCGAAGAAAGAGATCGAAGACAAGTTCGAGGTGGAAAAGTGGCAGAAGATCGCTGGTTCTATTGAGTCCAAGACTGGCAACAAGTATCCTTCTTCTGCCGTGCAAAAGAAGTATAAGGAGCTAAACAAAAAGTCGAACGGAAATGGTGTTGCGGTCAAAGACAAGGAGTGAACATGCGCTGGATTTGGCTACAGTTTGACGTTTGAGCTTGGAATGTCTGTCGGGATAATCGAAGTAGTTGTAGTTATCCTACGAAATGCATAATGGCACATATGGAGAGTGAATTTTCATGACGTGGGCACTGCCACTACTACTGGGTTAGATCTATCGCACAATACCAGCTAGAGACAAGCCAATTTTTCCCAGTATAGGGCATATTGAATATGAAACTTGCATTTAATGTCATACAGTAACCTTCACTGACAAGCTTCTGCTGCTCTTCACTTCAGTTGCAATTCAAACTCCAGTTTTCCTATCCTCCCTTCTCCACTTCGCCCTTCATTTCTCAAACACAGCGACAGCATAAATTCCCCTTTCATGAAGGAGAAGCCAGTCAAGACCAAAAAAGAAGACGACGAAGTAAGCCATCGCTACTCGCCTTGTGACTAGCCATTCCCGACAGACCTCCATTGACACGCTACCCAACAGAAGGAATCACCCGCCTCCATGTCAACCCTCAAAAAGCGAACTCGCGAAAGGAGTGAAAGGATGGATGGAGACGACGCAGACGAGCGGGAATACCTCACCAAGAGGAACAAAATCGAGGCAGACGCTCTCAGGGAGATTGATATATGTCCTTACACCCACTGATTGCTAATATCCTATGCTTGCAAGCTAACGTGAACATCAACGGGAAATGTTCGAGACCGAGAAATACATTGGACACAAGCAAGACCCCCCGGCACCAGTCCCAGCCGTTAGAGCCGGTGACAATCTACCAGCAACTCCAGATCTGGGTGATACTTCCTCTCAACCCTCAACGCCCAAATCGTCCACCACGTCTTAGTTTTCCTCTCTTTTCCCTGCCGAGGCATGCATCCGTTGCGTGAAGCTGCTAAATTCCAACCCAAACCATCACTGCCACCGTGTGCACCAGTCCCGCAGATACGACCCCTATATGGAATTGGACAAGCCCTGTCGCCCAATCCCGCGCCCTTTGTGGGCCACTGTTGGCCGTCTGCTTGATTCCCAGATGGATCCTGACTTTGATAAGCAGGTGAAGAGGGCTGTGGAACGATTGGAGGCGTATGGTCATGCTGGAAAACCTCACGATGAGACTATTCACTTGTTGCGGTCTATCATAGGAACCTTTTTCGTCTTGTCAACTTCGCGCGGGTTAACTACGGCTGGTATGGAGTAACTTGGTGAAGATGAGATGGAGGTTAAGGAAGGCGTGTGAGATTGTTGATGGTCGAGAAGCAAGATATTCCTTTCTTCTCGGAAATAAGTTCGAAGAGCGTACAATGAGCTGAGCAGAAAGCGAGCGGAAATAGTGTTGCAGCCAAATATGAAGAGTGATATGGAAAGGATTTAGCTACTGGGTTGGATCTAGCCCTGGGCAGTCAAGAAAATCATCGAAGTAGTAGAATAGCTATCACCTTCCGATACAAAAGACGAAATCAAGACCCTACAGAAATCCGGAGCGTAATGAAAAATAGAACCTGCTAGTAAAACCGCGCAGTGGCTTTTTTACAGACATTCACTTCAACCACCCCTCTACCTCTAGTCTCCTCGCCCCCGCCCTGTTTCCCTCGCTAGACCTCCTTCATCTTTCAAAGCAGCAACAATAGTTGAAAGCTAAGAATATGTCTTCTACGGCAAGCAACGTCAAAAAAATGGAGCCGTCTTCTGTAAAGGAAGAGCCAGTCCGTGTCAACGTAAAAGACAACAAGGACAACAAGGTAGGACATCTCTACACTCCCCTCATGGCTATCCAACCACAAGCGCCCCTTCTAACAAAATATGAACAGAACAAATCTCGCCCCAAGCCCGCCCACAAGAGACGACCTCGCGGGAAAAAGCAGGCCACCGTGGACGGCGAAAACGTGAACCCCACCGAGACGAACAAAACCAAACTGTCTTCGAAAAAGTCTGATGACGGTCTTGCTCATGGTTCTACCCGTGCTAGCTCTAAGGTTGAGAAGAAATACCCTATCGATGATGCCCCTGAATACGAGCAAAATGTCCCTATGCCAGCCCTGACTGTTTCTCACCCTGAGGCCACCCCGTCAGCTACCTCAGGCCAGGATGCTTCTCAGTCCGAACCAGCTGGCGCGTCATCGTCTCTCCCGCAAGTCCCTAAAGCTTCACTCCCGTATCCCACTCTGTTCGCAGAGGCTTCCCGGATGTGTGTCGACTGCGTGAAATTGCTCACATCCGACCCGAACCACCGCTGCCACCGCGAGATCAAACTCCACAACTGCGAGCGCTGTGTGCACTTGAACAAGAACTGTATCTCACTCCCACGCCCCCTGCAGTCTACTGTTGCTCGTTTGTTGAAGAATCGCGCGGATGCAGACTTCGGTCAGCAGGTCGAGGGCGTTATTGACGAACTGGAGGTGTATGCGTATGGTCGCCATGATGAGGGTCAGGATGAGACGCTTCATCTGTTGCGTTCTATTAATATGAACCTTTTCCGTATCGCCAATCTGTTGAAAGTTGCGGCGGATGGTGAGGAGCATAGTGAAGAGGAGGCGGAGGTGGATGAGGGTGTGTTTGGAGTGTAGGGTCGTCGATGGGATCGTCTCTAATCCTCCAGAACGAGTTCGAAGAATGGAAGTCGTGAAATGAGTGAGATCAAGGCTTGTGTGTATCTAGTTCTAGCCAAATAGTGTTACTTAATACCAGAGCAAGTAATGGTAATTCCCAGAGGTCCAGCATAATGGAGTTTGTATCATTCACTGTAGACTTCTTGTGCTTAACACTTGTCACCTTAACACTTCAAAATTCATCTCTCCCTTTATTGCCGTGTTATACACTTTTATCTATCTTCCCTTCTACTCAACAACAGCAGTTGGGGTTGAACTTCTCAAGGAACATGTCTTTCACAGCCATAAACGGCGAAAACATAGACCCCCCTTTCGCAAAGCAGGACCCCGATTCAAACGAACTCACCATGACCCTAGTCAAAGAAAAGGACGAAGCAAGTCATCCACATCCCCCTAATAACTCTACAGAACATGTCAACTAACCGTTATACAGAACGACTCGCCCATCCCCAACCAAACCCCAGTGCCAACCCCCCGCAAGCGTACTCGCAACAAGACCACAACCAACGACACCACCGACGAGTCCGAGTCTGAACAGAACCACGAACAAACCTCACCCAGCAAAAAACCCAAACCCAAATCCCCCTCCAAATCACCCACCAAAAGAACCCCCGGCCTCGGCCCCATCCCCAACAGCTACGAACAAGCAAGCAACGAAGACAAACTGCTCATCCGCCTAAAAGACGAGAACAAGCCGTGGACCGAAATTACAAAGGCGCTGGAGGATATCACGGGGATGACGTTGGGTGCTGGGCTGCGGTCTCGGTATGCGCGGATTAAAGCGAATTTGGTGGGGTTTGAGGAGGGTGATGTATGTCCGACCTTTCTCCCTTCTTACAAGTGTTCTTGGGATTGGTCTTGGTGCTGTGTATTGGAAGCTGACAATTGACAATGTGGGCGTGGACAGGGTCCGATTCTATTCGAGCTCAAGAAGGATATTGAAGATAAGCAGGAACTTGAGAAATGGCAGAGGATTGCTGAGGGGATTGAGGCGAGGAGTGGGAATAAGTATCCGATTACTACTCTGCAGAAGAAGTTTAAGGAGTTGAGTAAGGTCAATGGAGGTGGTGCGGTTGCGGTCAAGGACGGAGAGTGATTGAAGGACTCTGTACGGAGTACAGGAGCTGTGTTGGACGAACGATGATTGTCAAGATTCAAAGGCAAGTCCATTTATGCTAAGGTATCTCCATGTATCAACAAATAAATTCCATTCCGACACAAAACCGCAAGATAAAACCGCAAATAATGCAAAATATAAAATCAAAAAAGCAATCAAATAACCATTTCCCGACGCCGACCCTGCATGCCCAATCCCAATTCGCCAAGTCTCGCATCTTTCGTAGAATCGTCACTGTTAGTCCTTGCCACGGCGGTAGGCCGGACCTTGGCCCCCACGAACCCCCGCCGATCCCGTCCTGTTCGGCCTCGGCCGAGCCAGTTGTGTTTGAGCGCTTTGCTGAGCACTTCGATTCGCTCCTGTGGTTCGTCACCGGTTTGCACGCTGGCGAGCACGCTGACGCATTGCAGCATGCGGCCTACTGTTTCGGTAATGAGGTGGGAGGTGTCTGGTGCTGAGGAGGATGAGCGGTGGATTATGGTTGGTCGTGGGGCCGGAGAGAAGGACTGGAAGATTAACTGGTCTGGGTTTGAGGAGGTGTTTGATGCTGCGCGGCTGCGGTTGTCGCTCATGCTCATTGAGTCGGATGAGTAGCTGCCGGCGGCGGCGTTGAGGAGTGTCGATGACTGAGAACTATAGCTTCCGAACCCTGCATCTAGCGATGTTGCTGTCCCTGGTCGTCCGCTGGTGGTGCTGCTCTTTGTTGTTGTTACGCTGAGACCCGAGTTGCCCAGGTTGATGCTGTCGAGACTCAACCGAGAGAATGTGTTGAGCAGGGTCTCGTACCGACAGATGATCACCATGTCGCGGAACGCGGTCAGGACGAGGTTGCGAACTTCCAGCACACCTCCTGGCGGACCGTATGGTAATCCGTTCATGGACGTCCCACTCCAAAACTCGTTGGCTTCCCGCAGACTCATCACGGACCCGCATCCCTTGAACTCCAGGTCCAGAGGAAGGAATACTGCTTGAATGAACGGGAGGATCGTGCCAAACGTGAGCATCCATATCTGTACCAAATGAGGCACCAGCTTCTCATCCGGAACACCGCTCAAGTTGTGGTTCAGCGACGCGAATCCTGTATCCAGCAGTACGCGCAGGTCGTCAATTATCGCAGTCGGCGTGCGTTTTTGCACGCATCGTTGGATGTGAATCAGAACCAGTTTGTTTAGATCCTCGATCGCAATCCGCACATCCTCCCCGTCAAATATGACCAGGAGCTTCGCTTTCAAAAAGTCCCACGCATCTTCAGGAGTCATGTTATTCAAACCAAAGCCCTGCAGCGTCTCTCTGAGAGCGGCTTCGGCAAGAATCCCCGTTGAACTCCCAAGGGACGAAGGACCAGGAAAAACAGCGGGAGTACCGTTACTGCCTGTTGCATTTACAAGCCCGTCAACCAGCTCTGATTCCGCCAATGCTTTTTCTTCCTTTTTCTTCTCGCGTAGAGCCCGTCCTCCATGGAGAATGTCAAGGCCACTGACTGACTTACCGAATGTAGTAGAGACAGTACCGGGTGACTGAGGAACAAACGAGTAGAGCGATTGGGGGGCGTTCGGATCCGATGGCTTCGAGTTACTCCATGCCGACGACAAGGGCAGATGGCGATGTTCGTCCACGCGATCCTTCAGCTTCAGCTTCTGTCGTGACAGGAAGTGATGTTTGTGTTTCTCCTTGTCTTTGTCCTTGTCTTTATCCTTTTCCTTCTCCTTGTCCTTCTTCTCCTCGCCAGACGCTGGCTTATCGGCCGGTACAACCGTCGACGCAGACCCATTCGACAAATTGTACATGGACGGATTATTCAACGGCAATGCCGGCGTATCCGGTAAAGCAGGCGTCGACGTGCTAACAATCCTCGACAACCCACTGGCACTAGCAAAGCTCATCTTGCTCGGCGACGGCATACCCCGATCCTTGAACGGATCCTTGTCCCGACTAATCCCAATATGCTTAGGCTTCGAAAATAACCTCTTCTTCTTCTCGCCCTTTTGCTTCTGTTCCTTCTCAGGGACCGGCTCCGCAGGCATCCCCGGAGACTGTAACCCGGGACTCCTGGGGAATGCGACATTGGCCGCCGTCGTAGCAACATTTGTATTTCCCCCGACTAGTCCATTCTGATATGACGGTCCTGGCGTGATATTCGGGGCAGCTAGTAACGGCGGCGGCGGCGGGGGAGGAGGGGAGTCGCTCCCTGTCCTCCTATTCCTCGATACATTATCTTCCGACCCCTGGGAGATCGCCTGCGGCCGTCTCGGGGGGTGCTGGGCAGATGACTGCTGATACTGCTGTTGCTGTTGCTGCTGTTGTTGTTGCTGCTGCATCGCCGCCTGAGCGGCGATCCTCGACGCGGAAAGCGTAGCATCTGTCGACGAGGCTGTCGGGAGCGACGGTTCGAAAAACCCTTGGGAATGATGTCGAGACCGATGCCGTTGGATCTCGGCCCTCTCTCGCCCTAATGTGGTGGGTTTCCGACCCAACGGCTCATTCTGCGGCATGTTGGCGACCGGTCGCACGGACGGGTTGGCAGTGGACGAGGAGGTAGTGCTGGTGGTGGTGCTGGTGGTGCTGGTGGTGCTGGTGGTCGTTATCGAGGAGGTTCGAGGGGGTCGGGACGCGGTGGCTGTGCCAGGAATGTTGCTGGTGCTGGTGGTGTTGTTATTGACGGCCGAGACGGTCGTCACGTTGGACGCAAGCGAAGATGCATCGCTTCCCGACGAACCCGCAGCGGCCAATTCGTCGTCGAAGGAGGGACGAGAGGGAATCTGGGCTGCTCTGGAGGGATGCTCCGGCGAGCCAGAGAACCGCAGCGTGTTCATAGCGAAGTGGCGGAAGTGGAAGTTTGGAACGGGGCGGAGGAAACCAAGGAGAGAGTGAGAGACGATGATGCTGAGACGTTGGACAGTATTACCGTGACCGGGTTAAGGAGCGCATGTTCCTGTCGTAGTCGTCTGGAAGGAGACAGTGTATGATTGTTGATTGTTGTTCTGGGGAGACGAAGTAGCCAAGGACGCCCATCACCGTCGATCGATCGCTGTTTAGCACTCCGTCTGGAACGTTTCCCTTTCATTAAACGCCGACGCACCCCGCCCCGAGGCTTTTTTCACTACCGCCCGACCACCACACTATTCCACACCACGCAACACTAGCAAGTGAGAAACCATACTATACAGATAATTGAGTATTCTCATCTTGATCGTCATGTCTACCTCTACCGGAAACCACCTGCACGCCGTCTACATCTCCCCTCAACCCTCCACCCAGACCCAGACCTTCCAGCACGACCTTTCGCCAGCCCCGGCACCATCCGACACGTCGTCCAAGGTGTCCTATTTGGGAGAGCTGCGACAGTTGGTTCCGAAATTGCAGGACGAAATCAATGTGTTTCTGACGGAGCGCATGGAAGAGGACAAGAAGGCTGCGGAGGCGCAAGGGAGGAAGGAGTCGGAGAAAGAAGCCAAGGAGGAAGAAAACTACGGAGAGGAAAATGTGGAGGAGGATGCTTGAGGTTACGCAGTTTCATAACGGTCATGCATTGCGAGATTGCTCGGTTTTCTCGTTATATGGACATTCGGGATATCGACTCTATCAACTATACGGAGTACCCGCACGGTAACAACACGCCATCGCACACAACACCTTCGGATCCTTGGATATCGCTATCCTGGGGTATCAAATCGCAGAAAAACATCCGCCGCTCCGTCCGAACCTCATCACGGACGGAGGTTATAAGAGAAAGAAAAAAGAAACAAAACAGAAAAACAATGAAGCATATGTCCAAAATCAACGAATGCAAAATGCAGAGTATTGTCATGAGGTAGTCGTCGACAGTCGATTCGCACAACCGAGATGAACAACCGTGTTACTGCGATTCGTTAGTGGACATCAGTGTGCACAATACAAGGAAGACTTACTCTGGAAACACATTAATCACACTCCCCCCAAGCCGCTTGTGGCATATTCCACAGATCCTCTCCTCCGTCACAGTAACATGCCTCGACCGCGAAGACTTCGGGTCAATACCCTCGCCAACCAGCAACTGCGCCTGTGCCTTTACGTTCTGGACCTTCTGCAAATTCGTCGCAATTCTGGACTCGTTGAACTTGGAATTGGCGGCTCGCATACGACCTTTGAAGTAGAACTCTAGTTCTTTGACCGGTAGTGATTCGGGGATGAGGTCCAAGGCGGAGCTAGGAGGGAGACGGGATCCGTGCTTGGCGAGTATGTCGAGTGCGGGTCCATATTGTGGTTTATTTCCATAGGGCGGGGTGAGGTAGAGACCTAATAATGTCAGATGGATAGACGAGTGTTCATCTTTTGCTTGTTCGTCCTTTTCTCCCTCGGAGGTAGCTTCTTTCGCGGCCGTGTCCTCCTTGTGGACGTGGTTACAGTATCTGTAGTGGTTAGTCAGCCTCATCATGAACCAATTATTTGATCGTTGGCATACTCTTCTGCTTTGGCATAGTCTTGAAGTTTGAACACGTAGATCTCCAAAGCCTGTTTATGCTGTCCCATCTTGCTAAACACGATGGCTCTCGCTTCGAAGAACTCGGGATCTAGTACGGTTAGTAACAGCCAACGGATCCATGCATAGAGGAAGGCTTACCATTCCGATCCAGCCGATCGAGCATCTTAGCCGGTGAATATTGCGAACTCGATCTGAGCGTCTCCAGGAATCTGTTCCGCCACTCGTCGCGGTCGTCGTCACTCGCAAACTCCCCTTTGTTCAGACGATCCAAGTAAAGAAGCAATAGTTTAAAGTGCAAATCCGGCGTGGTATCGTTCAACTCCCCAATAATATGCTCGAGGTACTGGACAGCCAGAGCAATATCAATCTTCTCGAGAAACTCCAGCACCTGGTGTCGGGGTAACGTCTCTGCATTTTCAGTGTCTGCCACGAAAATCTCCATCCCCAGTTCAGGATCCTCTCGCACAGGCCACTCCGCAAACTCGAGAATGAGTTCGATCTTCGCTGGAGGCAGGTTCTGTAGATACCCGACCAATCTCTTGGGTCCATGGAGTTGCGGGGCTGACTCGTCCTCTGTTTCTGCTTGGCCGAATTTGCGCAGGAGCTCGAGGGCTTGACGATGCATCCTTTTGCCATAGAGGAAGTCGATGAGGTCGTTGTAACGGCCGGTTTCTTCTAGCCGCTCCATTACGACGTCAGGATCACAGAAGTTCGCGATGCGGAATAGCGAGCCGGCCAAGGAGGGTGTCGCAAACATGTGTGCCCGGAAAAGAGTTGTGTCCACGAGTCTTGCCTTTTCTCGAAGTTTCTCGGCGAAAGCTTCCTCTCGCTCGTCTCGTGGGAAGCCGAGCAGTTTCACGACAGAATCAGTAAACTCATCATCTGCAGCATTAGTTGGCGGATCCGGGATCTTGAGTGATCCATCAGGATTGAGGAATCGCTGAAACCTCCTTCGGACATCAGCAAGATACGCCTGGAGTTCGCGAACGGCAAGTTTGAGATCCTTTCCTTCAAGACGCTTGTCCTCCTCAACAGGCTTGCTACGGATGCTACCCGCATCATCGAAGCCGTCAGTCCTTGTTCGGAGGATGGACCTCATAGATGGAGCATGCGTCAGTCTGGTAGGGCTTATAGCATCCTCGGAAGTCGCATTATTCTGGTTCTCATTCGGCTTGGGTGAACCTTCCGATCCGCTATCCTCGGATTCTTCCTCTTCGACGATGATGGAGAGATCGCCAGCAATCAACTTAGGATAGAGTCTGATGACCGTCTCCGGAGGAGCCGAAACCTCCGTAAATAGGTCCATCGCTTGCCGATATTTCCTGACGTTGAACAGACCCTCGGCCTTTTCGAGTTTAATTTGGCGTAGCCGGCTGGGTTTATCCTTTAAAAGTGCATCCTCGAGCATAACAAGCAAACTGATTGCCTCGTCCAGATACCCTTTCTCAACTAGGGTGTCGATCTGCGTGTCGTAGCTCAGAGCTTCCATCCTCCAGATAACCCGATCACTAGCAATCAAGAATCCTTTTCCGGCATGGGCCAGGCTGATCGTAGGCTGGGGGATATGCATGAGATTGGCCGATGGCAGCGAGACGGACTGAAGCAACGACTGAGTTTCCGGATTCCTCACCTCCAGCACACCCTTGGACGCATCATGAAGCGCAAGTAGAAATGGATATGTGTATCCGATATCCGCCGGTGCATGGCTCCACGGAATCTGCCTGCGACCCAACGAATTGCCATCAGTGTCGATGAAATGAGTGTTGATGTCCTTTGCCAGCAGTATCTGCCCTTCGTTGAGTCTCGTAGAGAGAGGCTTCGGACCCATCCCACTCATCCCAATGTAACTCATACTAGCAGCCCCAACACCAGCCAACCTCCCAGTCTCCTGACCACCCAAGCCCCCAATACTCCCCGGCCCAACAAGCTCCGTGACCGAAGAGCTCTCAAGATCCACCATGACGAAATTCGACCCAAGACCAGCTACCAGCTTCGCCCCAGAGATCCAAGTAAGCGTCTTAATCCCACTAACCAGAACCATCTCCGCAGTGTCCTTCTCGGGCTCCATATCCCGCCATGTCCACAGGAGTATCTTCCTTTTAACAGCGACCGCAACCCGAGACACAATCGACGGAACGCCAGTCTCGGGATCATTCACGATATTCGAGGTAATCGCAAACGTCGTCGCGCCTTTCGTCTTGCTGAGCTGCTCGTGCAATTCGTACGTCTGCAGGTCGTGGATCGACACGTAGCCGCCCGATAACGAGACCAGCAGCTTGGCCTCCTTGATCAGGGCCAGTTGCTCGATCTTGTACCGAGAGAACTTTTCGATTTCGCGTAGGAGGTCGGTTGGTTTCGTCTTTGGTGTCGTGGCCCGAGGTGAGCTTGCTGTTGCGGGCCTATCGCCGTTCTTGACTGTATCTCCTCCTTCTCCTTCGCCTCCTCCATGGTGCTGTCCTCCACCGTTGGTGTCGGCGGCACCCTCCTCATCGTAGGAAACCTCATTTATCCGGTATATTCGTAGACTGCCATTGTTTAGCCCGACGAGGAGTCGATCGCCGTATGCGAGGACCGATTCGATCTTGGATTTGTCCCGCTGCTTGAGCTCGACGAGAGGCCGAGCCGTGAAAGCAGACAACATGCTGTGCCAATGCACCTCGGTTGTTCTCGTGCCTGTTCACCCGTTCCAGGCACAAGATACAAGCATGTCCAGCAAGAATATCAAAGCCGAAAAGCGCAGCTATTCATGCTGCTTGCAGTTGTTCCCGATCGGCGGACGCTGGTTATCGCGGCGTTAGTCAGAATTTAGTCAGCTGATTTATCGATAGGGGCTATGATGTCATAGGCACAAGAATGTTTATTATCGAGATTTCCATATGAAAGTAATATTATGAAATGTAAGTACTACTATGATATTTGCTTATGTATGCTTTTTGAGAATAGACATCTTTGAAAGGGACACGCCACCAAACTCAGAAAAACGTATTTTCCAAACGCCTCGGTCTTCATACAATGCCGAAGTAGTGTGATGGACAGGAGGTAAAGAGTGTTTATTCACGGGAGAGGAGAGGGCAGGTAGCGTAATATAAGAGGTGAAGGATGTTGATCGATTATAGAAACCCGGAATATATCTTAAGTCGGAATGAGGTAGGGTATGCCGTAGATGGATGGAGATACCTAAAAGGGCATCTATGCAACGTATTTTGACGAATAGAACGACACTCGAAAATGAAATAACTGACAAGGCACAGCCTGCAAGTGTAAGGTCGAGTCACATGTAATTACACGGCGTATTGGGGTCGAATGTATGCTCGAATAGCCACTCCATCATTTCTGGGGATCCGAAGGGAACTCCTGGTGGTGTGCAGAAGTACCCTTGCCACGCCAGGTGGATACTGCCGGAATGTCGGCCTTGAAGCGCTGCTCTTCTGTTCCGTACGCACGAGGAGTGAGCTTGATCAACGTGTGAAGAGGAACTTCCATCCACGGGCTTTGCTCTTGAGGGGTATTGAGGAAGTAGGCATAGATGCACCGTAGCACGGCTTGATGAGTGACGATAATGACGTTCTCACTGCGCTCCAACTCCATGATGATGGGCTCGAGGCGAATAACGACATCACGGTAAGACTCTCCACCCCGGTAACGGTAGTTGTACTTGTCTTCGTCACGCGCTGCAAAGTCCTCGGGGTATTGGTCGGCAATGTCCTTGTAGGTCAGGCCATCGCAAACACCAGAGTCAAGTTCGTCAAGTGCCTTCCATTCCAGTTTCCCAAAGCCCGGTTGACCTACCAGGTGACGAGCAGTCTGAATCGTACGCTTCAAGGTCGAAGTCCAGATGACAATCTTCGTATTGGGCGGATATCCAGACTTTCGCATGAGTTCAGGGAGAGCTTTGGCGTAGGCCTCGCCCCGCTCGGAAATGCTGGAATCACCGCCAATCTTTCCAACCAGATTGTACTCCGATTCTCCGTGCTGAAATTGAGATTAGCATATGCTTTGTCTTTGTCTTTGTCTTTCACTTCTTTTCAGTAACCACTTACACGAGAAAGCCAAATCGAGCGCGGTTTGATGTGAAGGTTCTGGATATAGTAGACCAACCGACTCGACAAATAGTCCTTGATTTGGTTGATTATGACGGTGGAGCCGACATTGATAAGCTTGACATAGGTGTAATGCTTCTCGTTCTCGTCGATGGTTTCATAAACCTGCTCGTAGTTCCGGATACGAGTGCGGAAATCGAGCGCAGCCATCTCGGGATCCTGACCCTTATAATCCGGAGACGTGGTTTTGACTTCGAGAATGTTGTTCATAATGACCTCCTCATCGTCACATGTCGACTCGACGAACAAGGTTTCAACATTCTCCTTCTCGCAGGATTCATAGATCCACTGGCGTCGTTCCCTGGTCGAATTGGTGGCATCGAGGATGGCAACGACACCTTGACCTTTTCGGAACCAGGCAAGCATGTCGAATACTGCAGCCTCAGCGGCAGCTCGCCTCATTTTCTCCCCTTCCTCATTGTGAGGTTCGAAGAACTTGGCCGATGGCTGCGGTGTGTTATGCCGACGATAACTGCCGACGTTGAACACCCGAGCGGGAATGCCAACCCAGGCAAGATACCGCATCGCCTTTCCGGCTATGAGACTCTTGCCTCTGGCCGGAAGGCCAACCATGACAACACAGATCTTTGTGTCATCTGACTGTAAAATTCTCGATGGTGAGCGTGCTTTCGACAACATTTCCAGAAGACTTTCTTGCAACCCGTAAAACAGAAAAACAATAACTTAATACGAGGAAATCCATGCCCAACATCTACCACTGCTTTATCAAGGCTGGGCGTTCCGACAATCGGATGCTGGAATCGAAGATCCTTCCTCGATCACGAGAAATACGGGGAATGATTGGATCCCACCCGATGTGACAGCAGTTTGCGCAAGGAAACAAATGACATGACATGCCTGATCATAAAGCCGTAAATTGAACCTCATCTGACAGACGACGGAATGAGGGGAGAAGACAGGGAAAAGCAAAAAAAAAAAAAAAAAAAAAAGAAAAAAAAAAAAAAAAAAAAAAGGAAAACTTACGCTGGCGAAATAACTCTTGTGCCCTCGCTCACCGCGATTGCTGCTGAACGACATGGTGAATTCTTTTTTGTTGAGCCTCTTTCTTGACTTCGGGTATTGATGGGAGAGGTCGAGACTTCGGGGACGGGTTTACCGATCGCGCAGGAAGCCGAGAATAGGAGAAGATCGGGAAGGGTATTAGCAGGAGTAATTATGCACCTCTTTCTTTTGGCGATGCTTCAGCGACTCAAAACTATTGAGCGTAGTCGAATGCTCCACCGGACGGACGAGACAGATCCGGCTGCCTCAAAACTAGCAACTTTGAGGGAATCTTCAGCTGGTGTACTCTGTAGAGGAAGAAATGATAAGGCGATTCAGGGATTATTCTAGCAAAGGACTAGACCCCGATGGTGGATGCGGTGAGGGCGAAGAAGAGAGGGAAAGGACAGCACAGACGTCATGCCGTGGGAAAGCACGACCTGGACAAAATACAATGGAGGGGATATAGAGAGGATAAAGGGGGAGAAGAGAAGAACAGAACAGAACAGAAAAGAGAATAAGAAACAAAGACAAGCGAAAGAGAGAATCCAACCAAACTGCAGACGAAGCAGTGAATTATTCACATCAAATCGGGTGATGCCCAAGATCGCTGGGGTCCACGTGATTTTCCCTTTTCGTTCGGGTAAAATCGAGCCCGTGGAGATGGAGATGCTGGATACTCAACCCCGGACTCGACCATCAGAAACCCCTCATTTACTGATTTCAGACGTAAAAGGCCGAGAACTTCTTGCCTCCCGGAGTTTACACGGTACCATTCTGCCCGGATTGATCATCGGAATGGTGCCGATTGGACCAGGGTCCTTAAGTTTACGGAGGAATGGATGGACTCTCGGTATATCCACTGGGCAAAAGGAGGGGAAGATTACTACAGAGAATGCTCGGTTCGGAACTGACATGTATGAATATGCATGCAAGATTATCCTGTTCGCTAATGATCATCACGCTTTTTTGAGTATGGTAAACGTTAAAAAATGCCCAATTTCCAAAACTCCCAACCTGTCGTTACCTTCCTCCAATGCTGTTGCTTGAAACCAATGAAATCGAGGAAAGGTGAAGCCGGCCAACGCCTGAGGGCACAGGTACCTGCAGCGTCATGCATGACAGGCACGAACGGAACTGCAAACCTGGTATTAACGAAGCACAGCAGCCGTCTTTCCCCACGATTTCTTTTCGCAGGCTGACACGAATATCAGATTACAATATCTGTAGTTCTTTTTGCAGCAACACACAGGAATGCCATCCTGTTGGAAAAGTGACAACCCATAACTTTTTTTGCTTTTGTGTTTATCCTGTCAAAACCGTTGGTATGCGTAAAATCGGCAACCACTCAAGGTATTTTATACGGAAACTTCGTCGGCAACAGGGATCTCAGTCGTCTCGGTAGAAGGCATCTTGCTTCTCTCGTCCCTCCATGTCTCTCCCCGGGCCCGTTGGACCCTAAGGTTGGCGCCCCAGGGACCCTCCTTGCCATTCATAGTGTTCATGGCCTCTTGGGCCTCTTCGACGGTGCTGAAGTCGACAAAGAGGTAGTAGTGGTCACCGGGTTCGAATCGCTTGGAGGGGTGAGGGGTAAACAGCTTGCTGACGTTCTCACTAAAGGAAGAAACTAGGGTTAGTATCTCAAAGGTCTTCTGTGCGACACAGAAAAAGGATATACGTACACCTCGTAATCTTTGAAGAAGTTGTTGATATTGATGCTGAGAGCTTCGTGGTCGGTCAATTTGGGCAGACCGCCAACGTACAGACGGCGGCTCGAGTCACTGTTCACCTTGGCGAAAGTGGGAGTGTCATTTCGCCTCCAGCGGTCGACGGAAAATAGCGAACCCTTCTCTCCGTCCATGCGCTGTTGCTGAGACTTCACCACACCGGGCTTAATCTTGACAGGGCGACCAAGCATGTCATGGCCGTCCAACTCGACCATTGCCCGATCAGCGAGCTCCTTTGTCGGCAGGTCAACGAAGCAGTAGGAGGGGTTGCGGCCCGTGAAAGGATCGATCGCAATGTCGATACGCTCGCTATGAAACACTCAGTCTGGGATCATTCATAAGACCAGAACACGTCAAGATTCATACATGGGGAATTCCGCCGCCGTAAACAGGGCTTCCACATCCTCAGACTTGGCAGTATAGGGCATGTTGCCGACATAGAGACGTCGGCCCTCGGAGATAGCATGGGGGACGTGTGGGCTTGGTCTGCTGAAAGCCAGTCTGGAGGTGCTTGTCCTGGGCTTAGGAGAACCCTGACCCTCCACACTGGGGCTTTCTTCTCCCTTCATACGCCAATTGGGAGAGTTGAAAGCACGACCGTTCGTTCTCACACCATTCTGGAAGGGGGATCTCCCGGGAGCTAACGACGCATCAGCAACTCATGCAACTTTAGGTTTATATTGGAATCAGCCCCAGATGAGCAACCCCAACGGTATTCATCGTCCTACACACTTTCTTGCTGCGGCTGCGGGATTTCAGGAGCGTCAACCATTTTGTCTGTTGGATTATCCAAAAATCGAATAGAAACAGCGACGAGTACAAGGTATCCGGTCTGCGAAACAAGAAGCGGCGCAAAGTCAGCATCGAAATATATCTGCGGGGAAGGGGAAAATCGCAAACAGGCTACTTACCTAGACAACGGATATTAAGGGGTATCAAAAGAAGAATAGCAGAAATGAACTTTTCAACAAAAGAATTAACAAAAAAATTTCCGACAGAAAACGAATCAAACCAACGCAGATACAGTTCCTTCGCCGACAATTCCAGAAAAAATGCCGCCGAAAATCTACATTTTTTTTAGGCGGTGAGGATCGTCTCTGCAAATCATGCAAACTTCTGTCGCGCTATTCCTGTTCCTGTACGGAGTTCTGGTTGGTCCGTTAGCGATGCTTTCTGCCTGCTCACCGCCTGGCGTCACTCGACTTTTCTTCGCGAAGTTTTTTTTCTCTTAAAAATTTGCTCCATCACGTCTTGACCAGGTTGAATTGAGGTTTCTGGATGAAATCCATTCAGTTCCAAGGGCCAATGGCTACCAGGTCCTGATTTGACGTTGTTTTCTTTCCGACAGTGGCCGCCAGACTCTGCGTGCTCGACAAGAGACGGAAGGATTTATGTTGTCCTTGGACGCTTGGTGATGCTTTCATGCTAGCCAGCTAGCATAATGGTCATTGCGACCATCTCGATATCAACAGCTCACTGCTGTACTAACACTCATGGTGAGTCTTTCCATTACACCCCCTTTCTCCCCATCACCCTCCACTTCTATGATGAAGCATGATTTCACACAGACCTGTTCCAATTTTATAATGAGGACACACAATCAGTCCAACTGCTATCTGAGAATATTCCCAATACTTTGCCTGCTCGAGTATCTTTTCGTGTTCATATGAGCTAATGCTTACAAGATATCTAGTTCCGCTTTGCATATCGTTTGAATGGTAGTTAGTTCATAGTATCTAGAATTGAAGTTTATGTTTGATGAACCTTTGGCGTGATAGTCTGTAGTGTGAACTTTATACATTTTATACGTTGAGCCCTAGGCGCCGTCGTGCTTTGTCCTTCCGTTCTCTCCAACCTACGGTACTGTTGACCCGTATAAAGAGCAGTACTCCGAGAATAACGACCTGGGGTTTGGATAAAGAAACAAGCATTATCCCATGTCCCATTAAGTGGAGAGCTTTCACTGATTAAATTACATGACATTTCCAAAGATAAATCCACATCCCATAAACAAATCATCCATCATCGATCATATCTCATAACTTTTTTAAACATCCCCACCATAAATAATCAACCCGAACAAAGAAAATCATGGATAAAAAGCATCCTCCGGCCTCAAAATCGATATATTCGCTTCCGTATACCGATCAAATCCCTCATCCAGCTGCGCCCTAATACACCGCTCCCTCTCGCTACCACGGATGGGATGCAGATACTGCTCGATCTGCTCGATGAGAGGATCCAAGTATTCGATTCCAATACCCTCCATGAGGTTCAAGTAGCGGTCGTAGCCCTCGATCACGCGGCAGAGGATATCCCACAGGGCGACGAGGATGCGGGTGACTTCGTTGCGTTCGATGTTGACGATGTCCTCGAGGAGCAACTGGCGGTTGCGGGTGTTGAGGAAGGAGGTGTAGACGAAGTTGTCGTATAGATCGAGGAAGGTGGTTAGGAGGGCCTTCTCGATGGGCGTGACTTTGCGGAGCTGGCTTCTGTACGGGCGTTAGTGTCTGTCATAGGGCACGTATCAGCGGAGAAGGTCTTACCCTAAGATTACATGGAGCATGCGACGATAACGAATGAAGAAGTTGACGCTCATGTCTCTGGAGACCTCGCCCAGGATGTAGTGCACGCGAGAACCGACATCAAGCAGTTCAACCAAGCGAGCGTCAACGACGGCCAAATAGCGCGTGACCACAGACGCAATCATCTTGATGTCGTAGGTAGCTCCGGCAGACATAAAATGCAACGGAGAACTGTCTTTATTGCGGAACAATATCTCCCCCATACGGATGATCAAGTAGGAGAAGTCGTGGAAGACGCCTCTAGGGCCATCGCCAAGATACTGGCTGCAGAGGAGGCGTCTCATGTCGTCGACGACGCGCATCTTGTCGGACTCTTCGCGGGAAGCGTACATCCCAGGGGGCGGGGAAGCGCTCGAGCTTGGTTCGTTGGGGACCTGCGGCTCATCGACGTCGCTGCGATGCTGCTCAACAGTACTCTGCTCCTCAGCTTCGTCTTCTTCGATTGGCGCAAGCAGAGGGCGAGGCTCTTCGTCATCACTGCTGGAAAAGCTTGGGTTGGCGATACAAGGATCAACCTCTCTGAAGCGGATGACTTCCTCGACGACCTTGGAGATGGCGTAGTTGTAGGCCTGCTCGTGCTGGATGAAGTCGACAGGCGGGTACACCTCGCAAGACTCGTCGTAATCAGGGAAAGGCTCAGTTTTGGGCTCAGAAGACTTAACAGTGGACTTGACAGGAGTCTCGATAGAAGATTCGACGGAGCTGACAGAATCAGCCAGGCCATTGCCCTCCTCCTCGTCTGTGAACTGGTAGCCACCTTTGCAATTTTCCACAGCCTCGTCAAAATCATAGTCGCTCTCTCCGTCGTAGTCTTTATCGTAGTCATCGTCGTCCTCCTGCACAGCTTGAGCCTCACAAAGCGCGAGACCCTCCAACGTACTCGCCAGCAAGCCAGCAAGCGACTGGCGATATTCACCCAGCCTCTGAGGATCAATGCTCACGGGCACGGGCTGAATGGGCGAGCAGGGACGAGGAGGGGTCAGCGCCGCCTCTTGTCTGGCGTAGCTAAACACGCGAAAAGCAGCATCCGCGACGAGGGTCTCAGGAAACAGGTCTTCGTAGATGGGAACACGAAATGGGCTTTCAGTTGTGTGGGATGAGCCAGTGACAGTGCCAGCAGAGCTGGATTCGAGCATGTCTTGGTCCATCTTGTCTCTTCGAGTAATGGATGGATGGGCAAACTTGTTTAACGATGGAGATTGCACAAAGCTTGGATAAGAAGATGAAAGATGATTAGATAGAAAAGGAAAAAAAGGGTAAAAATACCAGAGGGAAAGAAAAAAGAATGAGAAAAATCACTTCTAAATGAGGGGTTCTCATTCACTGTTGTGAGCATGAGTTTGCAATCCATTTTAAAATGTGACTTGATTTGCATTCACTGTCACAAACAGCCCTATTTTCCTGGATGATTATGCAGACACAGTAAATGCTTTCATGGTAAGCCCCCTTTTCTACTTCAAGTCCTTGGCTATCTCTGATACCGTTATTTCAGTGACAAGCCCTAATTTGGCGTGGAGCGTTCCGCGAAACAACCGCAAGCTACGTCTAGTTTCTACTGGGATGAGGGTCGCGTGGAATTGTAATGGTAAATGGCGATGATTGCTTTTTGTATTGCCCTTTTTTTTTTTTTTTTTCTTTTTCTATTCTGGGCTTCCTGCCATTTCCTTCGTCATTTGTATCCTCAAGACCGCAGGCTAGCCCCAAATCGAGGCACATACTGAACAATCAACGAATGGTCGAGCGATGAATCTTACCTTCAAACGAATATACGAATGAGGGATGCCATTCGGGACTGGATTGGTGAGAAGACGTCTTTTCGTTCATTGAATTGCACGCAGTGGGCGAATTCGTCGACAATTATGGTATCCGTAAACAGCTATGATGGGATTGTGAGCGAAGACGCGAGGGAGGCCTTGGGTAATGGAAGACGCAATTGTTTGTCGAAGGGATATATGAATACAATTGAAAGGAATATAAGACAATGCAGAGTTGATGTACAGGAGATTCCATCATATCAGTCGCGATTGCCTACGGCAAGTTTGATCTACGATACTATTCCAACATTTACCAGAGAAAAGGACTGTTCAATGTTCAAGGATGCATATGTATGCCACTAACTATTAATTAAACTACTATAACATGACTGTACCGTAACTCAATCCGAAAAATGCTCACTGAAGGAGCGCTCCATACCGATCGAGAAAAATCACGGTGAGTCCTCCCCCTTAAAGCACGCTACGTAAAGGAGACAGAACGAAAGGAAGAACAAAACGTTCCAGCCAGCCGACCGACTCCTCAAGCAATGCTCAAGGTATGAAGGACCTTTTTTTCTTCGCAAATTGACTAATTGGCACGCCATTGAAAGAATCGTGACAACTTAAAGTAGTGCGATAGTCGATATGGAACAAGAAACATACAAAAGACGAGCGCGCCTAGTTATCCTTTTTGGATGGTCCTTGGGTGTCGCCAGACGAGGGAGCCTGTTCGTCCTCGTCCTCGTCATCAGGTAACGGGACGTCCATGACGCGTTCCCCTGCCTTTTCCAAAGTCCTTCGGCTCCAGCTTCTTACACCTTTATAAACAGCCTACGGTTTGTTAGTGACAGAAAAGGCACAAGGCGTGGGCTAGCTTACCGCAAGGAAAGTCAGAACACCAAGCGCAATCATAATCCAGCTTATGGAAGCCGCTCGATTCCTGCCGGAGTTTCTTCCGTTGAGAGTCGAGCTGCGTACCCATATCTGCCATGATAATGACCCCAGGAGTGTCTTGATTAAAGACAGGACCCCCAATGACGTAAACCCCTTCGCAAAGTGTTCTATCCAAGTGTAACTTGGAACGTCTCGCCTGACATCACTGCCAAGGCTGGACTCCCAATACTCGACATGATAGATGGTGTCCACGGGATCCACGTAAAGGTTGATGATTGGGTCAGCAACGAAACCAAGCAAGAAGACAGTGAGCACTAAAATTCCCAAGGTCAATGTAATTTGGGTCATGGCGCTACTGATCCAACGCGACCACCTCAGACGTTCCAAGCGATACTGGAACCCACAAGTCGGGCACTGCCAGTAGTTCCTCTTGGCGTAGCCCGGGTCTGCGTGCCGCCACGATTGAAGACAACCCTCATGGACATATCGCGAGGACCCCTTGCATCTGCAGGGTCGCAGAAGTCGACCAGATTCCGGATCGGAGGACTCATATACCACCCGCGGCTTAGGCTGAAGGAATCCCGGCAGGTTCTCAGAGGGGGGATGAAAGGTCGGGTAGACGGTCTCCAAGCAGATGCGGCATTCACGGGGTCCGTAGTGCTTTTTAGAACTGTCCGGTTTCGCAGTATCGCTTGTCTCTGCGCGGTCAGGGGGAAAATCAGAAGTCCGAGGTCTTTCTGAGCTCGAGGGAGCAGAGGAGCTTGACGGCCACTGCCAGCGTGGCTCACTTTGCAAGTCCATTGTGTGCCTGCACGGTCAAGAGATTATAATGTCACAACATAGCAAGTCAGAATTGAGCACAGGTCGGTCATTGAGCTCTGGCAGCTGTATTCAAACAGTCACCGAGCACGGAGGGAAGCAGAGAAAGTGAACTGAAGCTGGGAAAATTTCATGGTGGAAATGGAGAGACGAGAATGGAACTGCGCTAATTGACTTAGTCAGGAGCTGGAACGAGTAGCCGCTCGCCTATCGTGGCTATCGTGGCTCACCGCCCCAGGCGCGGCTTGGCACCACCTTACCTAACCAGAGGTACTGCGTCAACGCCCGGTCGCCAGTGCCAGAGCGCAGCTTCACTCCAAACCCCCTCAGGCCTCATCTCTATTTGTGTTGATTGTTCTTACCGGACCTCTTTCCCATTTTCTTATCACGTATTCAGCTAGTGGAGGTCCTGAGTTGTCTCGATGGCGGACCGTTACTCGTTCTCGTTGACCACCTTCTCGCCCAGGTAAGATGAGCTCCCGGATCATCTGGAGGTGGGCATTTGCTAACGATACTTTGCAGCGGGAAGCTGGTGCAGATTGGTAATACACCGTTTGTGTTGTCGTCATTGTAATGCAGCTGCTTATTGTCTCCAGAATATGCCTTGAACGCCGTCAACCAGGGTGTCACTGCTATCGGAATCAAAGGTATTATGACATCTAGTTCATCGGGAGAGCTTGAGATAGCTAACATGGGTGCGTTGGGTTTTTACAGCAACGAACGGAATTGTGCTTGCTACCGAAAAGAAGTCATCCTCGCCGCTCATTGACCCTCCTTCCCTCTCCAAGATTTCCTTGATCACACCGGACATTGGCATGGTCTATGCGGGAATGGGTCCCGACTACCGTGTTCTTGTTGATAAGGCACGGAAGGTTTCCCACACTGCTTACAAGCGGATTTACAACGAATACCCCCCGACTCGGATTCTTGTGCAAGACGTCGCCCGTGTCGTGCAAGAAGCAACACAGTCTGGTGGTGTCAGACCATACGGTGTCAGTTTGTTGATTGCAGGATGGGATGAGGGTGTTGAGCCCAACACGGGGGAGGCCCAGCGGGGTGATGACGAAGATGATGTCAAGAAAGCGACTGGCCAGACCGGGGGTATTCTGAAGGGCGGCCCAAGCTTGTACCAAGTTGACCCCAGCGGTAGTTACTACCCCTGGAAGGCGACGGCCATTGGCAAGCACGCAACCAGCGCAAAGACATTCCTTGAGAAGCGGTACACTGAAGAGCTGGAGCTGGAAGACGCCATTCATATTGCTCTGCTGACTCTGAAGGAGAGCATTGAGGGTGAAATGAACGGTGACACAATAGAGCTTGGTAAGTTGCACCTCTTGAACAGTGGGTTCGTGTTTCAGGCCACGTGCTAACCATGTTTTCTTCAGGCATTGTTGGTGACCCTGCCGACAGCCTGCTGGGCTACGAAGGTGTCGAGGGGGCCCGGGGACCGCGGTTTAGGAAGTTGACGAAGGAGCAGATTGAGGATTATCTCAGCCATCTATGATTGATGATGTCTATTTGTTGAGCCTTGTAGTATAATAGACCATTGTTGAGTCTGGCAAGGTTCCACCAAGTAATCAACTGCGATGAGACGACCATAGCAGTGCGACTTGACTTAGGGCGGGTTTGACATTCGCCATAGAATGAAATGACGCTTGGTCTGAATGATAAGGATTATTGCAGTCTTTTTTCCTCGTTGTAGATTCAATATATACATCTTTTCGGCTGGAACAGGTCAGGTCCAATGGTCTCTCATCCCGGGCCGCATCTTATTCTGGCCTGAGTGTGACAGCTCACAGACCAAACACGCCGATTTGAAACAGATCAGGTGCTTATTTTGTTTCCTTTTTCTCCTTGATCTCGACGAATGTCACCTGCTGTGTGATTGTATCACCATTCTTGTAATCATGAAAAGCGCTTGTTGACCTCCTTCGCCCTTTGCCCCTTTGCTCAATATTTACAAAGTATGCCCCTGCCTACTCTTTCTTCTTGACAGGATAGTACCTTCAAAAACACCACTGGCAATGACCCTCCCAAACCCCATAAATGAAATCACCGGCTCCCTCTACCACTACGCCCCGGGGTACAAGATCCTACTATCAACCTTCATCGCCGTCTCCTGGTACAATGCTACCGAGCTCCTCATCCTCATCTTCTGCACCTTCCGCCGCTACCGCGGCCTCTACTTCTGGAGTCTGCTGGTCTCGTCCTGTCTAGGGGTAACCCCTTACTCGCTAGGCTTCCTATTCAAGTTCTTCTCCACGTACAGCCCATTCCTCGGCGTTTCGCTGCTGACGGTTGGCTGGTGGTGCATGGTAACCGGGCAGTCGATGGTGCTGTATTCGCGGCTGCATCTGGTCGTGCGGGACGAGCGGCTGCTGCGCAAAGTGCTGATTATGATCTGGGTGAATTTCGTGGTTCTGCATATCCCCACCACGGTGCTGACGTATGGGTCGAATGCGCGGAATGTGCGGTCGGGGGAGTTTGTGCGGGGGTATAATATCATGGAGAAGATCCAGATGACTGGGTTCACGGTGCAGGAGTTGATTATCTCGGGGCTTTATATCTGGGAGACGATTCGGTTGTTGAAGTTGGGGTGGGATGAGAATAAGCGGAGGATTATGCATCGGTTGGTTGGGATTAATGTTGTTATGTTGCTTCTGGATTTGATTCTTTTGGCGCTGGAGTATGCGAATCAGTATGCGGTGCAGATCACGCTCAAGGGTATGTTTTATAGTATCAAGCTGAAGCTTGAGTTTGCTGTGCTGGGGAAATTGGTTGATGTTGTTTCTGGTGAGCGGCTGCCTTCGCAGTTGGTTTTTGAGGAGCCGGGGGTGCCGTTGAACCCGGTGGGCACTTCTGTTGCGTCGTCTAGTCATCTGCTCGATGCAAGGCCGGTTCATACCCCGGAGTCGACGGCGCAGACGGTGCGGCAGGGTGTGTCGAGTGGGAAGAATTTGAGCTTGGAGCGGATTTCTACCTGGGTAGAGAGGCAGCGGCGGAATGATTCGTGAGCTGTATCATAACGAGGATATCAAACTTTGGCATATCCAAAGAGGTATCTATGTAATAACACGATAATCAAAACAATCCAAAAGGAATAAGTTATTGTTTCTCTGGGTTCTGGAGCAGGGTATCATCATCCTCGGCCCATCCGTAGTCCCCATCGGAGTCATCTTCGTCATCCTCGCTGTCTGCAATTTCATCGACTTTTCGCTTTCTTTGGCTTGTTGGCTGGCCGGCTGGTTGACTAGGTTGACTGGGCGTTTGACTTGGTTTGCCGGGTTGGCTCGCTGGTTGGCTCGCCGGCTGGGATGGAAACTCGCGTGGCTCTGCTACCTGCGGAGTAGCACTGGGGGGTTGTTTCTTTTCTATTCCACGAAGGCCGTCCTGCACCACAATTAGTTGATTGCGGCAGCATATATCCCAAGAGAACTCACCGACTCAGTAGCAAACGGAACAATATTCTCTTCCAATCTCAACACCAAAATCCTCCCTGACTGTTTCATAACCTCTGCGAAGCGTGCATTAACCAAAACGGGCAAATCCTCTTCCACCACGCTGCAAAAATCACGATACAGCACAATCCTCGTAGAAATACAATTCTCCCACGCTCCACCCGACAGCACAGGACAGAGCGTCGCCCGCGGCTGGCCCTTTATCTTAGTATGTGTCTGGTTAATAGCAAGTACCGCCAGTCGACGGGTGGTGGCTAGTTTCATTAGTTGGTTGGCTAGATCGCTCGTCACGTTCCAGCGCCGGTTCATGAGCCATTGGGTTTTTGATTTGTCTGTGATGTCGGATTGGGCAAGACGGGCTCGGAGTTCTGTTGGGTTGGGGAAGTAGGAGGGGAATGGGCCTGATATTGAGTCGATTATTAGGAGTGAGGTGTCGTCAGGGGGAAATGACTTTGGTGGGCGGAATAGTAATGCAATGAGATGTGGGAGGGATTGGGTGTGGAAGTAGAGTAGGTTTTGGACCAGGTCTTCTTCTGACTTGTCGCTCTCTGTGGATTCTAAGGCCTTCCGGAGCATCTTCCTGAGACGCGGTCTTGGTAGAGGGGACATGGTATCTGTAGTATGTTAATAGATGATCTAAGCCGAATATTCAGAATTGTATACCAATCCAGATCACTTTCCGTCCATCTAGTAGGGCATTGACTGCCGTACTCAATCTGTAGTAATGTTAGATAAAGTCTCATATCAAGGGGAAGCAGACCTACGCCAACGAGGTCTTCCCCACGCCAGGTGGCCCATACACCTCCGTAACCTGACCGCAGCAAATTCCCTTGTGAGAGGGAGTACTCGACCCAGGGACATCCTCCCCAGAAGGTGTACAGAGCGCCTCATCGAGTCTTGATAAACCCGTTGAAATCGCGCCCGGAGTGGCAGGCGCGGTCGACGCGTGTAGAGATTGCGATGCCGAGATTGGAATCACGCGATCTACTGGATTTTAGCAATTATACATGGTTTTCTTATAATGTATGATCGCGACTTACGGGATTCCTCGCTGGTAAGCCCCAAAACATCCTGCTGGCTCATGATGGCGGCTCCGCGGCGACCAGTTGTGGGAGAGTTCAATTGCTGGTTCACGGTTTCATTGCAGCTCCCGTGGCCTCATATTAGTCTTGTAGCACCCAGGTAGGAACCTACACTGTTGACTCTCGTCGTTGGTGCCCTGTAGTTGTGAGAATAACGCGAAGCCGAGAGTCCCAAAAAGGAAATGCGGATCCTCCGATTCCGCTCCGAAGCTTTATGCAGTCAATTGGCATTTTCTTCTGATTCCTTTCTAAACTAACACCAATTGACACTTTCTTGTATATATATTCTATAATTGGATTGTACAGTTTAAGGTGTGGTGAGGATGTTCGATATGCTCGCACAATTCGACACTGTACTCATCACAATCCTATGTATACTCCCAATCCTCATTCTCATCCTCAACCACAACCTACACCGACAAAAGCAACCACGAGGCTGCCGCAGACTAGGCATCCCTCCAGAAAAAAGCAACCTCCGCGACGAATACTCCCCCAAATACACCCACGGCGTCCCAGAAACCCACCACGACGCCAACGGCAAGCCCTCATGGCGCATCAAAGCCCTATTCACATATCCGATCAAGAGCTGTGCTGGCGTCGAATTGGATGCTTCTGATGTCGTCCCTACGGGATTGAAGTATGACAGGCAATTCTGTTTTGCGGAGTATGTTGTGCCTAAGCAGCGGGATGCTGAACCGCATTGGACGGCGAGGACGCTTCGTGATAAGCGGTTTGAGAGGATGGCGTTGATTAAGTCGGAGGTTTGGGTTCCTGATTCGACAGTTGGGGGTTATGCGCTGGATTTGGAGGAGGTGAAATCCGAGGGCGCGATGGTTATTTCGTACCCACGGACGTTCTCTGGTGCCATGTCTTTCCTGGGGAAACTGGGGATAGCACTGGGCCTCATTTCACCAGAGCACTCCTTCCAAATACCCCTCACACCACCCCCAGACAACCTCTCATCATACCCTAACACCCCCGTCAAAATCTGGAAAGACTCCCCCATAGCCTACAACTACGCCCACCACCTTCCCCCCTCCCTGCACAAATACCTAGGCACCGACACACTAACCCTCTTCCGCGTAAACCCCTCCCACCACCGCGAAATCTTCCGCTGCGCACCCCCAAAGCAAACCCTAGGCTTCCAAACGGTCACCGGCTTCGCAGACGCTTACCCAATTCACCTCCTCAGCCTGTCCAGCGTGCGGGATGTAGCGTTGCGCTGTGCTGATATCCCGCGATTGAGTATTCGGCGGTTTCGCGCGAATATCATTGTTCAGGGACCGGGGGCTTTTGAGGAAGATCACTGGAAGAAGGTCGTTATTGGTGGTGTGGAGATTCACACGGTCTGTCGGACGGTGAGGTGTCGGTTGCCCAATGTTGATCCGGATACTGGGGTTAGGCATCCTAGTGAACCGGATCGGACGTTGAGGGGATATCGGAGGATTGATCCGGGGTGTTTGGCGTATGCTTGTTTGGGGATGCAGCTTGTTCCGGCTGTGGAAAGTATGTCTTTCTCTGCTGCGTTTTTGTGGGTTGGCTGACTGTTGGTAGGGTTTAGGATCTTAGTGGATGATCCGATTTCCGTGCTGGATACTGGAGAGCACTTTTATATTAAGATGTTGGCTCCGGAGGAGAATGTTCCAGGTGAATAGGTATGTACTGTTTCATATGATACTAGTTAGTTACGGATTCATGCTGACATAACGTTACAGGGTAACTAACTAACTATCCATTCATATATCCAATCATACAAAATCTATATCTATACAGCAGCAGAACCAGAAGACCCCGGCTCCGCTTTACTACTCGGTTCAGTCTCGTTCTTGTTCTCTTGGCTAGCCGGGGCCTGCATCTGGGCGTTCACAATGGCCATTTCTTCATCCGGGTTCTCGGGCAGGATGAGGTTCAACACCAATCCGATCAATGCGGTGATTGCAAAGCCGTTCTCCATGACTAGGTCTATCGCGTCGAGAAGGCCAGTTAGGCCGTGGTTGTCGCCGCTGTATGTAAAAACGTACGAGAACCAGTCTGGTACCAAGGTAGCAGCCATACCAACGGCGAACGAAGCGGTGAGAATAAAGCGATTGCGTCGGGTAAAAGGCACAGAGGTGATGATACGAATACCAGAGACAGCAACCGACGAGAAGAGGAAAGTCGTCATACCGCCGAAAACCGGACTGGGAATGGCGACGAGGGCAGCAGCGAACTTGGCGAAAATGCCCATGATAAGCAGGAAGAAGCAACAGCAGTATCCGGCTTTGCGATTGGCGCATTTGGTTAACGCGATGACGCCATTGTTCTGCGCGAAGACGGACATGGGCGTGAGTGTGCATAGGCCGGCGAGGAGACAGGTGATGCCGTTACCTAGGACACCGCCTTGGATGCGGGAGTCGAATTCGGGACCTTCGACTTCGCAGCGGGAGACGTCGCAGGTGGCTGTGATGTCGCCGATGGACTCCATCATGACGACGATGTATACGGCCAACAATGGCAATATTAGCGGCGGATAGATGGTTAGAGGGAAGGTTTTGACCCAGATGAACGAGGCGACTGGGGCGACGTCGATTCCAGACCGATCAAAGTATCCGCATGCACCTGCGACAATGCACCCAACCAAGAGACCGATAATGACGGCGCAAGATTTCATGATAGGCGCTCCGAACCGCTCGCAAATGATAATGGTGACAAAGACCAAGAACCCCAGACCGATGAACTCGGCGCTGCCCCATGGGAGGGCGTGTGGTGCGTCTGCACTGGGACACAGGGCACGGCTGGCCGGGTCATTTCCACAGCTTCCCGATCCTCCGGCCCAGTCCTTCATGCCGGTTTCCAGAAGCGAGGCACCGATTAAGAGTACCGTGGGGCCGGTGACAAGCGGTGGGAAGAGACGTTTCAAAATCTTGCTGCTCAGGAAAGACAGGCCGATTTCCAACAATGAACACAGACACGATGTTCCGAGCAATGCACCATAGCCGCGTGGACATGGCAGACGATTTCCTTCAGCGTCGATAGGACAATATCCCGACGAGTACATCTGACTGAATGTACCACTGGCAACGGTAATGGTCGCAAATGAACAGCCCACCACGGAAATCAACCCAGTTCCAACAAAGTATTTTGTCCTCCATATATGCATCCGCGTCATTTGAATCAAGGACAGCAACCCGGACGTGATAAGCGAAGTAGACACGAGGTACTGATACGTTTCGGTCCCGAAATTCGCACCCGAGGAACCCCCCAGCAGAATAGGAGGAGAGATAACCCCAGCCAACATGGCCAGGGTATGTTGCAAGCCCAGCAGCAAAGCCAGGAGGACAGGGACTTGGTCATCGAGGCCGAAAAAGGGAGCGGACTGTTGGGACTTTTTGGTAAAAGGGATGCGAGGGGTGAAGAGGTAGGCGTAGTCATAGTCGCCGACGAGGCCGTCTCGAGTGGTGAATGCCTTGACGATGCGCCTAGCCCGGTCTGGCCAGGAACGTCTGGGATAGTGATCGAGATCCATGATTGATGTTTTCTGGATCAAGAACTGGCGGGGAAACTGGGGATCGGTGATTTATATGCATACCTGCAACTAGCATGCGCTGACTGCTGTACTACACTGTAGCAGGGAGTCTACTTGGGATAGATACATAAAGCGATCGAATACGGCGGTGTTATCAGATAAGCGGAAGGTCTTATCAGCGGATTCCCCCGGGATCGCGCGTGACCGGCGCGGGGGTCCGATGGTCCTAGTACTCTGTACAAATCTAGACAGTCACTTGCTTTTGCTTGAAAGTAAAATATATAGTACTTATAGAATTCCGGGGAAATATGCTGGTTTTGGATAGCTTTGCGGGGATAACTACCCTCCACAAACCTTGGTAAAGAGAATAAATAACCGTAGCCAATGAGACATGCTTACCTGTAGACTCGAGAAAGTTATGTGATGGTTCCTGCATAGTGTAGTACAGCATCCTACCATCCTATACAGAGTACTCGGCTCTGTACTATGGAGTATTCCTTTGGAGTACAGTACATATGTACTCAACAATGCCAGTGGAATCCGTACTTTGGGATATCTTTTATCGATAAGGCTGGTGAGATCACCGCCCTTCTTAATTTGGAAACGACCGAGTGGCCAACGGCAGCAGAACTTAACCAATAAGGGGCATCATGGCAAGAGACCGCCTTCCGCGGCCGAAAGCGTTGGGGACCCAACGGATCCCCGGCGGGCCAATCAGGGGTGTAGCTGCAAGGGCCTGGATAACCTCATGGTGAGGAAATTCATACAAAAATGATTAGAATATCCTCGGATCCCTGATTCTGACTGCTCTACTACAGAGTATATAATCTGCCACTGTCACTCTTCCCCCTCTCTCAATTGTTTGTGAGTGTGGTGTTTGTATGGCAGGTAAATCCGGATTTCGCAAGTCTCCTCCGCTATAGATCCCCAACCGTCCGCCGTGTTCAGTCATCCCCACCAGTCAATCCTTTTCCTCCACTTTTTTTCTACTTTTCTTCTACTCTTCTCGTCATCTTCTCTTTCAATCCATTGTCCTCTTTACGCACCTTGTCAGTGAGATATCTTAACAGGTGTCTCATCCTTCACCATGTCGGCCAAGGTAGACACCCGCCCTAAAGCTACCGACTCCAAGAAGGTCCATATCGCCGATACGCCTTTGACTCGCCAGAACTGGTACAAGCATGTCAACTGGTTGAACGTCTTCCTCATCGTGGGAATTCCCATCTATGGCTGTGTTCAGGCTTTCTGGGTGCCATTGCAGCTCAAGACTGCCATCTGGGCTGTCATTTACTACTTTTTTACCGGTCTCGGAATCACTGCTGGTATGTTTCTTATTCGAAACCTTTACTCTTGACTTAGCCATTCTAATTGACATTCCAGGATACCACCGTCTCTGGGCTCACTGCTCCTATTCCGCCACCCTTCCGCTTCGTATCTGGCTCGCCGCTGTTGGAGGTGGTGCCGTCGAGGGTTCCATCCGTTGGTGGGCTCGTGACCACCGCGCTCACCACCGTTATACCGACACCGACAAGGACCCCTACTCGGTCCGCAAGGGTCTGCTCTACTCCCACCTGGGATGGATGGTTATGAAGCAGAACCCCAAGCGCATTGGCCGTACCGATATCACTGACTTGAACGAAGACCCCGTCGTTGTGTGGCAACACCGCAACTACCTCAAGGTCGTTTTCGGGATGGGTCTGGCTGTTCCCATGCTGGTTGCTGGTCTCGGCTGGGGTGACTGGTGGGGTGGCTTTGTCTATGCTGGTATCCTCCGCATTTTCTTCGTCCAGCAGGCTACCTTCTGCGTCAACTCCCTTGCCCACTGGCTGGGTGACCAACCCTTTGACGACCGCAACTCTCCCCGTGACCACGTGATCACTGCCTTTGCCACCCTCGGTGAAGGTTACCACAACTTCCACCACGAATTCCCCTCCGACTACCGCAACGCCATCGAGTGGCACCAGTACGACCCCACCAAGTGGACCATCTGGATGTGCAAGTCGTTGGGTCTGGCCTATGACCTCAAGAAGTTCCGCTCCAACGAGATTGAGAAGGGTCGTCTGCAGCAGTTGCAGAAGAAGATTGACAAGAAGCGTTCCAGACTTCACTGGGGTGTTCCTCTGGACCAGCTCCCTGTTCTCGAGTGGGATGACTACGTCGAGCAGGCCAAGAGCGGTCGTGGTCTTGTTGCCATTGCCGGTGTGGTGCACGACGTGACTGATTTCATCAAGGACCACCCCGGTGGCAAGGCCATGATCAACTCCGGTATTGGCAAGGACGCTACCGCCATGTTCAACGGCGGTGTCTACTACCACTCCAACGCCGCCCACAACCTGCTCTCCACCATGCGGGTGGGTGTGATCCGCGGTGGCTGCGAAGTCGAAATCTGGAAGCGCGCTCAAAAGGAGAGCAGCGACTATGTCCGGGATGCCACCGGTCAGCGTATTGTCCGGGCTGGCGAACAGGTGACCAAGATCCCTGAGCCTATTCCCACGGCCGATGCCGCATGATTTCCTTATCTCATCCATATATATGTGACGATTTTATCTTCACGACCCCTTGTATCATTGTTTGTTTGTTTCGCACTCATGGCGTGTTTGTGTATTGGGATGGAGTTTCATTCGGCGTTGGTTGGTACATAACGATTGAGAAAACGCATGTTCGGACACTGTCCTAAAAGCCGTGGATTAGATAGATAATCTTGATGACGCTACGTATGACCTTTTACAATCTCCGTACGGAGTACTCTGTAGACTAGGATGAAACTGTAGAAAACCGAAGAAGTCCATCGAGCGGAGTCAGTGGGTCGGAGAATTCAAGAGTCGGAGAGCAACATCCACAGCCAGGATCTAACCTCCGACACCACTCATCCTCTTGCACGACGAAACTGCCACGTATTACTCCGTACATAGCACACGATTACCCCGCATCCACCACCATTCACTCTCGTCTGCTCATTCACGCCCTCGTTCTAGTCGTGGGCATTCTCCTCGTCACCGTGGCTCCCCCGCTCCGACTCTCCTCCCCCACCACTCGCCTATCCTCCATCTGGGGCCATATCCGCGGCTCTCGAGTATCATCCACATCCTCCCCAGCTCTAACCAACCTCCGCCGTCTCCTAACAACCTCCACCATGGCCCCCGACCACCTCCGCAAACCACCGCAAGCCCCTCCCATCTTCACCGCAACCGCCCAATCCATCGTCGACGATGCAAAGCGCCTTATCGAATCCTCCCGCAAAGTCCAGGATGACGTCGTCGCAAAGGTCTCCCCCGACTCGGCCAGCTTTGCCTCGGTCATGAAGCCGCTCGCCCAGGATGAGAATGTCATGGCTCTCGAGTCGCACATTCTTGGCTTCTATCAGGCTGTTTCGACTGAGCAGCAGTTGAGGGATGCGTCGTCTAAGGCGGAGGAGTTGATGGATGAGTTCTTCATTGAGACTGTTATGCGTGAGGATGTGTTCAAGTTGGTTGATGCTGCTTTGAAGAAGGGTGAATCTCTTGATCCTGAGTCGAGAAGGTTGCTGGAGAAGGAGCACAAGGATTATATTCGCAATGGATTGGGTCTTCCGGCTGGTGAAAAGAGGGATCGGTTCAAGGAGATTAAGAAGCGTCTGAGCCAGATTAGCATTGAGTTCCAGAAGAATCTTAACGAGGAGAATGGTGGGATCTGGTTCACCCGTGAGCAGCTCGACGGCGTCCCCGAGGACGTCCTGGGTGAATTGAAGAAGGGCGAGGGGGAGAATGAAGGCAAGCTCCGGTTGACCTTCAAGTACCCTGACCTCTTCCCTACCATGAAGTACGCGAAGAACGCGGACGTTCGGAAGCAAGTGATGATCGCCAACGAGAACAAGTGCAACCAGAACGCTCCTCTGTTCCGGGAATCCATTGTCCTCCGTGACGAGGCCGCTCGTCTCCTGGGCTATCCCAACCACGCCGCCTTCCGCATCGAGGACAAGATGGCCAAGACCCCGCAGACCGTTGACACCTTCCTGGGCGACCTGCGCACCCGTCTGGCCGGCGGTGGTCAGAAGGAGATCAATGAGCTTCTGGCACTGAAGAAGGCTGACTACGAAGCTCGGGGTGAGTCGTTCGACGGTCGCTACTACCTGTGGGACCACCGGTTCTATGACCGTCTCATGCTGGAGCAGCAGTACTCGCTGGACCAGCAGCAGATTGCCGAGTACTTCCCGCTGCAGACTACGATTGTGGGTATGCTCAAGATCTTCGAGGAACTGTTTGGTCTCGAGTTCGTCGAGATCACGGGTGAAGACCGTGCCCAGGTTGCCCCCACAGGCAAGGGCAACGACATCGTCTGGCACGAGGACGTGCAAATCTTCAGCGTCTGGAACGACAAGGGCGAGGGCAACGGCTTCGTCGGCTACCTGTACCTAGACCTCTTCCCCCGCGACGGCAAATACGGCCACGCCGCCAACTTCAACCTGCAGCCGGGCTACATCGACGCCAATGGCAACCGCCGCTACCCGGCCACAGCCCTAGTCTGCAACTTCACCAAGCCTAGCGCCAAAAAGCCCAGTCTTCTCAAGCACGACGAAGTCGTCACGCTCTTCCACGAACTCGGCCACGGCATCCACGACCTCGTCTCAAAGACTATCTGGTCGCGCTTCCACGGCACAAACACCGTCCGCGACTTCGTCGAAGCTCCCTCCCAAATGCTCGAGAACTGGTGCTGGACCCCTTCGCAACTGAAATCCCTGAGCAAGCACTATTCCACCCTCTCCCCAGAATACAAAGCCGGTTGGCAGGAAGCCGCCTCCACCTCCACCGAAGCCCCCGAACAAATCCCCGACGACATCATCGCCAACCTCATCCGCACCAAACACGTCAACGACGCCCTCTTCAACTTGAGACAACTCCACTTCGGCATCTTCGACATGACCATCCACGAACCCTCTTCCCACGAATACATTCAGAAACTACCCATCTCAACAACCTACAACACCCTCCGCAAACAAATCACCCTCATGGACGGCCCCGAGGCCATCGGCCTAGGCGATGAATGGGGTCACGGCGAAGCGACCTTCGGCCATCTCATCGGTGGGTATGACGCTGGTTACTACGGATACTTGAGTTCGCAGGTGTACTCGACGGATATGTTCTATGCTGTCTTTAAGGATGAGCCGATGGATAAGGCTGCCGGTAGACGGTATAGGTATACGGTGTTGGAGAAGGGGGGTAGTCAGGATGAGATGAAGACGTTGACGGAGTTTTTGGGGAGGGAGCCGAAGACGGATGCGTTTTATAAGGATATGGGACTCGCCTAAATCTGTATTCGGATTAAGTGCAGTCCTGGAATCCGTGTTAGATTGAGTTAGTAGCTAGAGTGAGCTATCGATAAGCTCACCGCCTAGCAGCTTCGAGTAGCAAAATAAGATATGATAATCACCAATCAATCCTACCAACTATTATTGTATTCAATCAATCAATTCAATCCTCTATTTTACCCTCAATCCTCACACACGACACATACACGATACAAACAGACACAATGTCCGAATCACACCCCTCCGAAACCCCTCCCCAAAACCCCGAATCCAACCTCACAACCAACGAACCCAGCCTCGATGAAGAAAACAAGACCCTCCCCATAAAAACCCACCACTGCCGCTTCTGCAACCACCTTCTCCTCGCAACAACGCGCTCTCTATCCTCCCTTCCCCGCCGAAAAGATCCCGCCCGCGACGCTGCTTTAATCCTTCCTCTTCCTCTTCCTCGCCTGACTGCCAATGACGACGACGATGAGTCTACAAATGCGGATGCGAAGGGGGTGAAACATTACTCTATCCTGCTTAGTACGAGTATACCAGATCGCAGGGCGACACTGGTACGGCGCGAAGACGGGTTCGAAAAGAGGTTGTTTCTGCGGTGTGGGCGGTGTCGGGTTGTTGTTGGGTATTTTTTGGATGGTGTGCATTTCCCCGGACATACGGAGGATAATGGGGCAGATGCAGGCGGGGCGAAGGTGGTGTATTTACTACCTGGGGGATTGGTGGAAACCGATATCATGGGCGATGAAGAGAAAGTGAAGGCTATGGATCAGGAATGGAGTGGGTGGGAATGATTACTGCTACGAGGATAATAACGAGAAACCATTGAATGCATTATGTCCTATACTCCGTAGCTCGTGTGGGTATCATAAATCAGTTGGCCAGGATAGTGCGAACGAGGTCTGTCGCGTTGCAGTTAGTTAGCGATGCTCGTCTCAGTCCAACCAGGAACAGGAACAGGAACAGGAACATACCGGTATAGTTAATCTCTCCCGAACTAGTATCAACCGCCTTGAGCAGCTCATCGACCTCGTCGTCCGACATTTTCTCTCCGAGGTTTGTGAGGACTGCGCGTATTAGCACCTGTGCGTAAACCACTGAAACGAAGGGAGGCGCACTGTAACGAAGTTGTCCCACACCAATAAACCCAGTCAAATCCTTATCAAACACCTGGAAACCCCGACAGTATTCCTCCGGCTCACCGGGGTCGCGGAAACCACCGGGGCGACTCAGCACCTTTGAGAACGCATCGAAGTCGACTGCCCCATCGCCCACCAGTTAACATCATCCACACAAAACCAGCATGGTATAAACAGCGCAATTTGAATAGTTTGGGGACGTACAATCACCACCGATACTCTTCTCCAACTCGGCAATCTCCGCCAAGGTCGGGTTCTGGCCACAAGCGCGGAGCAGATCGCCGAGTGACTCGAGGGCGACTTTTCCGGTGCCGCGCTTGTCGAAGAGCGAAAAGGCTTCTTTGTAGTTGGTGGAGGACTGGTCTTCTTGTGAGGACATTTTCTTCTTTTCGTGGAGGATTTGGTTTGATTTTGGTGTGGAGGGTGGGATAGAGGGATGGGATGAGGTTGTGGTGATGAGAGGGGGGGGAATAGAGGTGACAGGGAACGGAACAGGGAAGGGAACAGAACAGAACCAGGGATACGGGAGCAACCAAACAATGCAGGAGCGTGTGTTGAGTGTCACTGGGTAACTGTAACTACCCTGCTGCTTCCTTGCGTGGGACATGGAATGCTCTCGTTCTCTGGTTCTGTTCTGCTGCATGCCATTCACTCAGGGGAACGTACCATTGTATGTGTAGTAGTAGGTAGTAGGTAGTAGGTAGTAGGTAGTAGGTAGTAGTATAATTAAGTAATGGAGGGAGAGTATGTCAACACAGAGTGAAGCAACACAGAACAATTGATCAATTCAACAAGACAGTAACAGTAGCAGAACAGTGATAGTAAAGAAGGAGAAGAGGACAGCGATAAATCGAGTTATCAGATAAACCAAGTGGGCTGCCGTTGGGGGGGAAACGCTTTGTTGATCTACTCTCAGCCTCAGGCACCGGGCACTAACTACAGTCAGGCACACATAATAGCCTACTCAGGGCACAACAGACACAAGACATCATAATCTCATCATTACTAAAAATACAGTACAGGTATATAAATAAATAATAATACATCCAAAGAATCAAACAGTCCAGCTGTACAGAGTGCCTTAAACACTGCTCAACTTCCCAATACAATACCCAACCAGCTCTCCCGCCTCCTGAATCAACTCCCATCGACTGTCCACGAAACTGTCCCGCAGAATCATCAACAGTCCCAGACACTGGTTCCGTCCACCCATGTGCTGCAGCTCATTCGGATCCCGCGCGCCTCCGACACGGCGCAGGAATGAGTGCATGTCGGCTGCTTGCTCCGCTTTAGTGCTCAGTGAAACTGGTCCCAGCGGACCATCCAGCGCGTAGCCGTAGGACCACACCACCAAGGCTGCCATGTAGAGCACCCAAGGACGGTTGAGGAGGTAGTCGTCGCGGGCGGAGTATGTGGAGGTAGCCTCGTTGGACCAGAAGGTCGAGGTTTGTTCGGGGAGGAGGCACTTGGAAAGAATCTTTAAGGCGTAAAACGTCGCATCCCGTGCAGACGCTTTGGTTGCCCAGCTTGTCATTTTCTCGCGTGCGGCGCTATAGTCCCGCGCTGTGATAGATCGGCCGAGGAGTCGCCCGGCACCCGCGAAGATCTGGCAGTCGACAATGTCCACGTGTGAGGCCATGTGTGCCAGGGCGTGCAGTGCATCCCGTGAATCCAGCACGGGGTCCTCTGCGCCGAAACGGTGGGCGTGGTATGAGAAGAGTGAGCCCTGTCCAAGGGACTCGTCGTAGTCGCGGCGCCAGTTATCGAATGCTCGCACCAGCGACGAGCGCCATTTGTCCCGGCCGCCTAGGGCGTGCGGCACTCCCAGGGAACTGACCTGCAGATCCCGCTGGTTCATGTGCCAGCTGACGCTGAGAAGGCCGGACATGAGGATTGCTCGACCGAACGCGTTGGTCCGGACAGATTCGCCGTTGAGTGTCTTCTTCAGCCCGTCCAGGAACAGGACAGGTTTGACGCCGTTGGCCTTCAGACTGGACTGCATCCGGGCTACTCCTGCAGAGTTATTCGCTGACCAGAGAGCCTCGTCGCATGGCAAGGGCAGTCGCAGCTCGTGAGCAACCATCTTGACCGAATGCCCGAACATGGTTGCGTGCGTCGAGTCCAGCACAAACGCAGCAAATGCAACCCGTCGAGTGCCTTCGGCCTTGATCCAGGTCGACCACGACTCGTCAGCGACTGTCGAAGTCGATCCAGATCGCGAGTGACCGCCCTCGTGCATGTTACCACATGCATCCTTTCCAATAAGGGAGCTGCCGCGACGCATCAGAGTCAAGGTTGTGTCGTGGTGAATGTGAGCCCGCTCGTGAAGAGCCCGAGTAGAAAACCGCTTCTCGTAGACTTCCAGCAGCAGCAAAGTCTGGAAGATCCAGAGCTTCGCGGGTGGACGGAAGTCAGCATCCATAAAAAGCTCCCATCGCAGGTGCCAGGCAATAAAGTCGGCTAATTGCGCGGACGCCTCAGTCACAGACCCGTGCGCTTTGTCCAGCGTGGCTGCCCCGATGGCAATGATGGCTAGGAGGAGCAAGTTAGGCGTCTCGTCTGCGGCAAAAGTAGGCTGATGCAGGATGGGCAGCTGGGGATGGAAATGGTACCAGTAAGACCCGATGTATGTCTGCATCATGCGCAGGCTGAGGACATGCTGGTCATCGTCCAGGTTACCATCCATCAGCGAGTCCTTGCGCTTGGTCGCCGCAGAATAGGCTGCCTCGTTGAAGCGGGTGGACATCAACTGAAGCAAGTCCTGACGTTTCTCCCCCGATAGGATACCCTGTGGCGACCCAGTGTCCAGGATACTGGTGACACTCATGGAATGCTGCTGCGTCGGCAGCATGTTGTTGATTAAAAAACCCTGGCAACCAGGGTCGTTCACTAAAAAAGAATTCGACATTTGCATTGTGTCAAGGTATCCCGGCATCATCCCGGTTGTTGCTGGCGTCGGGGCCACGGGAGGTGGCAATGGAGCAAAGCCTCCCAGCGACGGTGAGGTTGTGGATGGAGGAGGGGTGGCCATTTGACCAGGCTCGTTGAACAGCCATGCGGCAAAGTCATCCGCCATGGCAAACGGAGACCGGTTGTAGGTCTCGCCGCCAAACATGGGGTAGGCACAGGGAGACATGGGGTCAAACCCGGCATCGCTTACTGTTGGCCCGGGAGCCATCACGCTGGGCTCGAGGCCACTCAGGGTGGTCGGTGTTGGAGCAGTGGCAGTAGCCAGAGAGAGATCTGAGTAGGTGACGGGAATGGTCATACCCGGCTGGGAGTCGTAGGTGGTGGTCGGATTAAAGGAGGCTCCGTTCATATCGGGAGTCGAAAACGGTTGATACGAGGTAGGGATCGTTTGTGATGTGGTAGTCGTCGACACAGGCGTTCCAAACTGCTGGGGATCCTGCCCCAGATCGCTAATAGGAGTATGGGATGACGAGCGGTCACTGACCGAGCCACACGGAGGGAAAGATGCAGTGGATTGAGCGGCAGGAGAAGCTAGCGTGTAGTTGGTTGAGCTCTGAGGCCGGGGGAAAGGATAGTCGGGCATGTAGTGGTATGTCCCCAGAGGCACCGTCGATGGTGTTTGTGGGTTGCTTGTTGCGGGCAAGATGTTGGAGGAGGGCAGTGTAGTAGGAGGAGTGGTAGAGGGAGCATTGGAAGGGACCAATGGCTTTCCATGGTGAGAAGCAGTCTGAGCAAAGTGATCGCGTTTCTGCAGCTGGGAACCTCTTGTGGTGTGTCGTTCCCGGTGGCGGATGCAGAGATCCTGACGCACAAAAGACCGGTAGCAATCGGGGAAATCACACCGGTAGATTTGCTTGGGAGTGTCTGTTGGGGTTAGCATTACACGGAATACACCGGGAAGGGAACGTACGGTTCAATTGATGACGGTAGAGATGCTCAGCACGAGAATAACTCTTCCCGCAGCTCTCATGGCTGCAAACAAACTTCTTGTCCGTGTAGACCTTGCGAGTGCGCTTGCGCTTCTTCGCGGCGGCGTCAACAGTAGATTGTACCGGGCTCATGTCGAGGACCTTGGGTTGGCCTTGTTCAAGTTGGGCCATGGCTGTAACGACACAGGGCATATTGGTAATCCGGAGTTCAAGTAAAGCAAACGAAGGGCATGACCAGTCTGGCTGGATAGTGATCTCCCAAAAGGCCGGACGGGCTGGTACTTATAGAAGTGCGTATTCTAGTATACGGACCTAGCAGGCAGACCGTGGTGGGGCGATTTGCGAATGGGGGGGGGGGGGGGGGGGGTTGAGCAGATCCAGCAACAAATGGAGAGGGTCAGCTTCGCAAACCAGAATTAGACCGGAAGGAAGCGAGGGTTAGAGTTGGAAAAAGAAAAGAGATTGACTCGTTTAGAAGCCGGAAGAATCGAGTGAGTGAGCACTCTGTAAGTGTGCCGGCAGCGGAAGAGGGGTTCGAGGATCGTGCGGGATGAAGAAAAGAAAATAACAACACGATCAGCAGAAGAAACAAGCCACAGATAGCATTATCCACAGAGAAGTCTATGGAATTTTCCGATTTTCATAGAGAGAAGCAAAGATGAGGTAGGGAAGTGCGAGTGGTGCCCCTGGCGCTACTGCAGAATGAACATCCATATGACGCAGAGCAGGAAGAAAAAAAAGAAAAGAAAAAAAAAA